ATCGAATCGCAGTAATTGAATAACCTGGAAAGATAGTGCGTTTTATCACGTTTTATCACGTTAAGCATAACGGCTCGTGTTAAACAAACCGCCTCTGTGTCAGCGCGTCTACCCGGGCATTAACAAAAAAAAAAAAAATGCAATCATGATCTTTCTACATCTGACTGGCACCTTCTCGCGGTCAACTGTGTCATTTGGCTTTAAACGGACAAGAGACTTTTGTGGAAACTAGGTCAGGCTATCTGGCTCACGCATAAAGGATCCCGATGTGGGTGATGTCTATAAGTACACCAACAAAGAAAACCCGGTGTCACATTGGGCTGATGGTCTATTGCTCCAAAAGCTTTGGAGATAAAATCTTGAAGCGGATCAACCTCCTCAAACTGCCCCCCCTTATGCTCAGATTAAACCTAAGACGCTTCAAAGTTGGCCCCGAACATTTTCCATATCTGACCGCAATACTTCCAGACAGCCGAGGCGTTTGACGTGAACGTCTTATTCTTTTCTCCAACTTACCCCATGCTCCGAGGACCTGGATGCTGATTTTGAGACTAATTCCACTCGCGAACTCTTCGTGGCCTTTTTAGTTTTGTCCCCCACGCTAAAGAGCCGTTTGGTTTTTTCTTCTCCTAAAAATCTTGGTCTTGCGTTACATTTCTGAGGAAGAAAGGGCACAAATCACTTCCGAGACCAGATTCCTCCCGTTTCCCCCTCCGAGAGCACTCGTCTCCGCTGAAGTCAGTTGTTGTACTCCAACCCTACCTGCCGTCCTTTGTCCGAGGCTTTCCACGGCGAGCACACCGCCTCGTCGCCACCGTGCGTAATTACGCGCCGTTCGCGCGTCGGGCGCAGCTTTACCACCCGGACCGAGCGTGGAATGTCGGCGAGAATCGGTCAGCGAGCTGCGTCTGGCTCCAAGAACCACCAGAACTTGTGTGCTCGCGCTCCCCTCCCGCCTCTGTGCCCGCTCAAGCCGGGATCCCATTCAACAATTTCAGAATGAGCCTCCGAGCTTCTTCGTCGCCATCTAATGGACGCAATGCAAACTACTGATCAATTCCTGCTGATGTGAACTTTCGAAAATGTCCCACTGAAATGCAATATGGGGGCAACTGCTCGTGGACAGCTTTGGACAAGCCCTCGGTGCTAATCTATGTAGTGCAGCGCGTATCCCGATCCGGAAGAGTGTGAAATAACTGGATTAAGAGCAAAAATGATTCACTGCAAAACTCCTGAGCAAACAATCAGCCAGCAGACACACTCAAACTCTTGTTGATCTCAGCATAAACGTGATGATTATCAGTGCAGAGCTATTGTTTATAACCATATCAAACACTATGTAGTACTTAAATCTCACTAAATGTCCTGAATATAAAGTTTTTTTGTATCAGTGTTAGTGTCAGTCTAATCAAATATCAAATACTGACTGTAAAAATCTATTTTAGGACAGAATATCATACAGTACACATGACAACATTCCACAAATACATCTAACTAAATGAAATGGAAAAGAAATGTGTTCACACCTAAGAGATTTGTCAAGAGATTTGTCAAGAGATTTCCAAGAGATTCCAGTGATTTTAAATTGAGATCCTAATTTCCATCTCTTGTTCCCAAAACTGCCTCGCATTTTTAAAATTTTGCGTTTAGAAAGACTCTATCCATCCAATAAGTTCAACAGACTTCGGTTTGGACTTACTACAGATTTGAAATGAACCATTTAGTTGCATGAATACGAGAGTGAAGCCTCAAATGTAAGGGCCGAGCTATGGGAGCGCTAATCGTGCTGCTCAGCGGCCTGTTTCTGGCGATGCAGCTGACTGCTCCTCTGTGCTGCAGGGAAGCAGCAGGAGACATCGGATCTCTGTCTCACATACAAACAGCCTCAGTGCCCACTTAAAAAGACACCTCCTCGCTGGCCCGAGGCCGTTTCCAGCACAGCTGGACGCTCCGGGCAGGACTGAGCTGCAGCTCCTGGCCCCTGTCTTCAACATACAGGGCATTAATCACCTTATGCAGACACAGATGGGTCCTCTTTGGGAAAGATCCCCATACTCAAATGCGGATTCCCTTTTTGAACAGGAATGGTAGAAACTGCATGGCACGACAAGGAAACCAACAAGTCGAAAAAGTCTAAAAAACTAAATTCGACCTCATAGTTGTGATGGTGATTGAATCAGCCATTGCAGTCTTTTTTATCTCCAAAAACTCCTGAACCCCTTTAAAAATACATGTTGGGTTTTTCCCCCCCTTTCTGCTCTGTCTGATCAGCTTTGCTGCATTGGCCTGAGTGGGAGCTTGCAGCATATCCCTGAGCACTGCAGACTTCACCTGGCTGCATCTGCTTTCTGTCACTTCCTCAATAAACACCAGAGACCCACTATCACTGCAGTCCCTCTAAGCCCATCCCGTCTCAATTCCAACAGTTATTTTTGTGTTGTTATTTTCGGCAAATCAACCTTTTTTTAGTAGTGCTTTAGACTTTCTACGTCCTAGTTGTTTACAGAGAGCCTGGTCTAGTTTTCATCTGCACATTGCGTATTTTTCCAGAACTGCCGTGGGGTTTTAGGACTTACAAAGTCAAAGTCACCTCCAGGGATTCTATTCTTGGGGTTTGTCAGCTGTTATTGCTCCCATGAAGTTGACACTGCTCATGGATATTGAAATGACCATCTGATCCCCATGTGATCATCTCAAAAAACTAAATATAGTATGAATTCCCCATTCTTCTGAAATGTATTAAAATTTTTATTAACCCATCGCACAAAAAGTAGAGGAGTCGTGTCTCTGCTTTATTGCAATTTTCAAAAAATGTATTAGATTAAGGCCATTAATCACTTGTTGACACTCTAAACATCAGCATGTGACATAGCAGTGTTTCATTAAATGTAATTAGAGCCGTGTCATCCTCACCAGATGCTCGAATTAAACATCAGTGCTCAGTGGGCACCCAGTGGGTTTGTCAGCTATTCTCACAAACTCAATAAGAAGAACCTTCTCCCCCTTTTGTCACATACCCGTCTGGTTAGAGGCTCAGTGGGAGGCAACATGAACAGCTGGAAGGCACTGAGATAGTCAGGCTTTAAAGCCCCGTCTGCACTGAGGATGAACAGGGCACGCAAATACAGAGCAACACATTTACATTTCTGACTGTAAAAGAAGAGTTGGAGGTTGCTGGCATTTTCTGTGTGGTCTGGTGTCCGTTTTTACAAGTTAAGGCGAGAACTGTGGGGGAACAAAAGATGTATGTGATGTCTGGTGTTTTTGGGCACCTTGAGTCATTGATCACTTGGTGAAACAGACCATGAAATAAACAACCGAGCACAATTAGATTTCTCTGCCACGAGGAGAAAATAAAAGGTTTTTATTGATCTAAAAAAACTCAGTGACACGTCACTCACACCATTCCCCTCAGCACAGAAAAACCTTAAAGCTCTATCAAAGTCTGAAAGGTCATTTTGTGGTGAGGCTGGACGAAGGCAGAAACGCCTTAGGTCTTGTGTTGCCAGGGGATTTTTGGATCAACAAGGAGAAAAAAAAACATTAGGAGAGAAGCACCACAAATGTAACATTTTTATTTTTTTCAGTGACAGCTGCCAGACGTGAGGAACAGTCGAAGGGCTTTAAAATAAGCTGCACTCAAATATAAGTAGCTCATTGGTATTTAGTGAGCTTATAATTCTCAGTACGCTAAAGAGGGTTAAGAGCTTTTAGCCATTAGATAAATGAAAATGCTTTGATTTCACTGAGTACTTTTGTAAAGCAGTACAAAAGTACAGGGAGAAAGAGGCAGATTCAGATTGTGGTAAAGACGTGCACTCAAAGTCGACTGGAGTCGCAGACATGATGAGTTATGGTTAGTTAGAGGATGTTAAAATAAGGAAAACTTTCTTTTCACTTTGTGCAAATTGGACTCAAGTCTGCATTTGATCATGAGCCTTTGGGACTGTAACTTTATGATGAAAACCCATGAAAGAAAGTTTTTATTGCTTTTTTTTGCAATAAAAAGTCTTTGAATTACACTGGAAACTGTGTACCAGAGGATTGGCTATGAGAGTTCTTACTTAACTCTTTAAATAGAAGGTAATAGTGCATTCAACCGTGTCCACTTATTTTTTTATCAGCTCTAGTATTATATCCATCTTTTCTAGATGCACTTTCTGCCTACTTGTCTGCCTCTTTTTTATCAGAATATATGATTTTATCCAAAAATATCTATTATTGTAACCAATAATGTTGTAACTGCTCATTACCTATTGGGGTTGCGGGGGGACTGGAGCCTAACCCAGTGGTCAATGGGTGAGAGGCGGGGTACACCCTGGACGATCTGCCAGTCCATCGCAGGGCCACACGTCTCCAAGAATATGTAAAAATAAAGAAAAATCTGATCTACCACTGTATAAATTCCCAAACACTTGTCTTCAATCCTAGATAAATGAGATTTTGCATTTAAGAAAAAAATAAAAATAAATAAAATGATGTATATTTTTAACATAAACATACGAATAGATAAATTTAAAACAGTATTGGCATAAACATTTGAAGTATAACTTTTCATCTGTAAATCAGGAACGTTTTAATTTCTGATTTTCTGTTGCTAAGTGTTTTTTAGTCTGTTTACAGCTTTAGCTTTTTGTGCTTGTTTATCTGTGACTATTTGTTGGCTTTTATATTTTCTTTCATGGCGAAAATAGTCTTACATAGTGACTTTAGTGTTTCTGAAAAGAATGTAAATTAGGTTTCTGGTGATATTTTATGTAACATCGCCTCCTGACGGGTTTTCAAAAATCATATCTATTCCTCCATTTGGCCAGCAGGGGGCAACATCAAGTAGCTGCGCATTTATTACGTATGATTTAGTTACGTAATCACAAAGCGACTCTGGATTACCACGAGGATGTGTCACCCAACATAGAATAAGATCATTTTAGCGACTATTCGTTGCTATTTAGTTGTTTTTGTTGTTTTGACGTAAGATTTAGACGGCGGGGCTTTCGGAAATGGGGGACTTGTCGTCGCTGGGTCTGTCCGACTGGCTGATTAAACAGTGTAAACAGCTGGGAATCAACAAACCCACTCCAGTCCAGGAAAACTGTTTACCACCTATCCTCGCAGGTACCAATGACTTGTGACCTTTATCCTTAGTTTTATTACCTATAAACATGTGCTGGGGCTGTATTAATATCATGAAATGATTGTATTTGAAGCTGCGGCCCCGATATACTTATGCTTTATTTTAGGTAAACAAAGGAGAGAACGGTACGTACAGTTAGCTTCTAGTTTATGGACTATTTTAGTGGGATTAAAGTATAACAACGGCTATCTGTTAAGGTGAAAAGATAAGCCGTTTTATTTTTAGATTTCAGGACGTAATCTGTAAACCAGAATTAGCTGAATAATGAGTTTCCCCCTTCACCCACAACAGGTCGGGACTGTATGGGCTGTGCCAAAACCGGAAGTGGGAAGACAGCAGCCTTCGTGTTGCCAGTGCTGCAGAAACTGTCAGAGGACCCATATGGCATCTTTTGCCTCGTGCTCACTCCCACCAGGTTAGTAGACATAGACAAAGTGTTCATGTGAAGTCACTCAATCGACTTTTGTAGAGACCCATCATAGAGGAGTTTGTTTTAGATTGACTTTAATATCAACACAAAAAAATCTTCTTTAAAATGAACAGTTTGGTTCCCAGAACTCTTAACAAATATAATCCAAGAATGATCTTACCATAGCTCTTCATCACTGTGTCCATAGATGACACAGTTATTATAATTTTTTTTTCATTTGAAAATAAGCCACATTTTATTACCCTAAAATTAGGTTGCGGAAATCAGAAGCTAACCTGAAGTTTCTTTCTCATGTTTCCACCACTCGCATGTTGTAAATGCGTCGCCCTGCAGGGAGCTGGCCTATCAGATCGCAGAGCAGTTCAGAGTTCTGGGGAAGCCTCTGGGGCTGAAAGACTGCATTATCGTCGGTGGAATGGGTAACTGCACACATCACCCACACAGTTGGCAGCACAAGTGGCTCGATCTTTCCTTTCCTTTTCACTGTAGAGTCAACAACAAGGCTTCATTTACAATTCTGTACATCTGCTGTGCAGAAAAAATAAAGTTGACTTGATTTCTTGTGTTGGTGGTTTGCCATTTTTATATATATATATATATATATATATATATATATATAATGTTTAACACGGTACACAGTAGACTAAACATTGTTTCCAAGTACCATAAAACCACAAATGCCCACTCATCCGCGGTGTGCTGTTCACAGACATGGTGAGCCAGGCCATGGAGTTGTCCAACAAGCCTCACGTGGTTGTGGCGACGCCAGGCCGGCTGGCTGATCACATCCGCAGCTCCAACACCTTCAGCATGAGCAGGATACAGTTCCTGGTGAGTTTGTGAAGCATCTCCAAATGGGTCATCTGGATGGTTCTACTCAGACTTGAATCCAGATGGGAATGAATAACTCAATCTTTGTGAATACTTAATATCAGATAAATACTTCATTATACATTTACTATTTTATATATCTTTTTTTGTGCCAGCACTTGATGAGTATTTGAATGACTGTTGCATATAACTGATGGAAGTCCTCTTTTGTTGCCTCTCAGATTTTGGATGAGGCCGACCGGCTGCTGGAACAGGGCTGCACTGACTTCACCAAAGACCTGGAGGTGATCCTGGGGATCCTACCGGCCAAACGCCAGACGCTGCTGTTCAGCGCCACCCTGACGGACACCTTGCAAGAACTGAAGAAGATCGCCATGAACAAGCCTTTTTTCTGGGAGAGCACATCGGAGTGAGTAACCTGCTCCTGTTAGCATCGCACTGGCAGTGAAAGCACCCACTGCACTTATTTAGACTTTAATCTTTTTTTAAAAAGGAAAAAAAAGTCCAGATCAGACCTGAAACGAGGGCATAAAAACAGTGACGGAAGCACCATTTTATCTTGCTTTCCACAAAGAATGTAATTAATTTTTTCCACATTTTTTTATCAGGACGCGCACAGTGGAGGAGCTGGACCAGAGATACATCCTCACCCCAGAGAAGGTTAAGGACGCCTACCTGGTCCACCTGATCCAAACGTTTAACGATGAGCACGACGACTGGGCGATCATCATCTTTACCAACACGTGCAAGTGAGAAATTCAGAGGCCACACACACACACACACACATTTAGGACTGATTAAGTACCAAGGTCCAGATATCGAAGAGTTTTCTGTTAGAGCATTTCTTACTCTATAAATGTTTTTGTTTTTTTTCTCCCAAGGAGCTGCCAGATTCTCACAATGATGCTGCGGCAATTTAACTTTCCAACAATTTGCCTGCACTCCATGATGAAACAGGTGAGACGCATCCAAACAGTCTGAAGAGCAGCTGACAGAAAAAACTGAGTCTAAATCTGCTTTACAGATCTTTTTTGGTTTGACTGCATGTTTAATCTATAAAAACAAAAAACAAAAGGCAGGCTTGAGAAACCTCAGTGTACAAAAAAAAGAATTGGTCGACGAGTCCTCCGACTAATCGACCTGCTCTTCTCACTCCAGAAACAGCGATTTGCAAACCTCGCCAAGTTCAAGGCCAGCGTCTACAAGATCTTGATCGCAACCGACGTGGCTGCCAGGTAGCAGGCGCTGCCCCGTTTGACCAGAGCCGGGTACAGACGTTGGGCCCGCTCCGGTTATTCATTCTTTTTTTTTTTTTCATGGCCGACAGGGGTCTGGATATTCCAACCGTCCAGGTGGTCATCAACCACAACACGCCTGGCCTGCCCAAGATCTACATCCACAGAGTGGGACGAACAGCTAGAGCAGGTAGGTGCCGTCGGCCTCGAGAGCCCCAAAACTCCCACCTTGCTCCTGTTTTTGTTTTATTTTTAACTCTCCCGCGTCACTAATGACGGGAAACAAACTCCTCGTGGGCCAATTAGGCTACTTCCGATTTCAACTCGGCCATGACAGCGTTTCATTTGCTCTGCAGGGAGGAACGGAGTGTCCATCACTCTGGTGACTCAGTACGACATCCACCTGGTTCACGCCATCGAAGAGCAGACGAGTAAGTCGCAGGGGGGCTTCTTTAAAAGCCCACGTGCGTGTTTACGAATACTCAAGTCTGAATGTTGTTTTGAAAAGACAGAAGAAACTGATTTGTTCTTACAGCTTTCATTTCACTAACTGGCCTGTTTTTTCTGCAGAGATAAAGCTGAAGGAATATTCCGTGCAGGAGAAGGAAGTCCTGAAGATCCTCACACAGGTCAACGTGACCCGGAGGGAGTGTGAAATAGTACGCCCGTTTCCCCTTTTCATGCAGCACCTCCTGTAGGCGTTTAGATGTCACTGCCATCCACATGTGCTCCACACTGGAGCGCGTTCAAATTAGGTTAAAAAATATGGGAAAACAGGGAATATTGACTTTGGGTTGCCTCTGTTGTGAATGCAAACTCTTGATGTTTTCAGAGGCTGGAGTCCAGCGATTTTGATGAGAAAAAGGAAATCAACAAGAGGAAACAGCTGATCCTGGAGGGGAAGGCAAGTGAGCTTCTGAACACTTGTTCAGGTTTTAAATCACAGTTTTGGCTGTTGGGCCCAGCAGTTTTCTGTGTGGACACTAGGAAGCAACACAGTTAACTTTGAACAACCCGCTGATGGTTTCATTGTGCAGTGGAACATCTGATATCTTAACGTGTGAACAAAACTTGTTCTTCATATGGAATCGATATGTCTTCATAATAACACACCTCATAGAGCATCTTCCATGTTCACAAGTCGTTACATAAATGCAGACTTTTCATTTAGATGCAAGTGACTAGAATTAGATTTTTTTTTCCTCAAATGTCAGTGAATGCATCATTGAATACTGCTTGCTGTTTTGGGGTTTTGTCCATTTCTAAAAGTTGAGACCGTGCACCAGCTGCTGCAATCTTAAGCATCAGCCAGACCAGAAAATATGGAGACTTAGCTCATTTTAGATATTACCTGTCCTGGGTTCACATCCAAATGAGCCCTCACTGATTTGTGACCCGAATTCTCTTCTAGGACCCGGAGATGGAGGCCAAGAGGAAGGCTGAGCTGGAGAAAATCCGGAGCCAGAAGAAGAAGTTTAAACAGAAGATCCAGGAGACCATTCAGAAGCAGAAACAGAGTCAACAGAGAAAGACACAGACGAGGACAAAACAGACCCAACAGAAAAAAGCTGAGTCATCATCAACCTGAAAAACAGTATTACAACTTACATTTCTTTAGAATTCCTGGTGTGTGTGTCACAAGCAAATAAATGTCATATCATTAAACACGGCTCAAATTGACAACCTTTATTGAATCAGCTTAACAAGGGAACCACCATCTCGTGATGAAACGTCACTGCAAATAAGACTCAAAGCGTCAAATGTGTATTTACATCACATTGAGGTGTCTAATCCATCGCTTCAATCTCTGCCTCGTGAGAGAATCAACAGTTTGGATGCAAAATTTAACAACAAATCAGCAATTTCGATGATCACTTCACGTTGAAATAGAGTGTGGCTCAGAAGGTGGGTGAGAGGGGGGGGATCCTAAGCAATACAATATTAGGGCAGCGGTTTCTTTTTAAAGCTATTAACATGTTAGGAGTTCAGTGAAGCAGGTCCACATGTTAAAACATAGCACAAATCTAATTCATTTGCACAATGTCAACGAAACGAACAAGTCGACATCTACCTGAAACATGATTGTCACATGTCTGTAGAAACGGAAAGCCGGTGAGGAACGACTGGACTACATTCTTACTGTGTTCAGAAAAATGTCTCTCCTAGAAGACTTACAAAACTACAATCCCTCGGACAGATTTAGGAAGGTAAAAAAGTCTTAACGAGGAGAGGAAACAGCTTGCGCCTCGTTCCTGTAGTCAGCAAGTTGCTACAAAAGACAGATTTTTAGTAAAACTACACAAAACGGCCAAATAACACCCAACTGAACATCATTAACAACGCACACAGCAGTAATTCATTTGACAAAAGCAAAGGATAGATCAACTCAGGGTTCTCCATGAAGGTTTAACATCATTTTAGGTATATCTCAAGAGGACCTACCAAAAATACATAAAGCAGGCAAAACAGCTTTGCACAAAATCAAACGTCCACTGAGGGTAAAATAAACTACCAGCCCATTTTAGCTCCACAGAGAAGGAAGGTGGCTTTTTTTTGTCATCAGCCCATCCTCAACACAATCCAGCTGGTAAATCCACTAAATTCATTCCCTGGTCCGACTCCTTTTTCACTATCTAAAATAAAAAGGAAAACACAAAAGTCCTTTTCTGTGGGTTTAGTGAAGCCCTCTGTTGCCTGGAAGCTGTTTGTATGCTGGTAGTCTGGTTTTAAAACTACATTCACGCTTGTGCTGCAGCTGTTTATCTGAAGGTTGACCGGTTATAGGCACTGATTCTGGTGTGTCATTCGTTCCCGTTTCGTCTCCTTGCCACTGATCAGTGGCATTTCCCCCCCCGCGTTCTAATTCACGCCGGAAAACAAACTCGCTTGCAGGGTTCACCTTCAACCCTGCGTCCTTTCACCTGCTCCTCCTCTTTGTTTTAGCTATATGGCTCTTTGCCTGGCTGCCTCGGGTGATGCGGTTGCTCCCTGTGGGCGACGACCGCGTCTACGGAAACGACTCGTGTTGAGTCGTCTGGTTGAGCTGTAAAAGTCCAAAAGCCTCACTTTTTTTTGCTCTAACTTCGACGACGGCAATGACCTGAACTCCTTTCCTTCTTTCTCAGCCACCTTCCTTTTCTTCGTTTGGGTGGATTGATTGCCAAGACTGCCTGTCAGCCGCACGCCACCGACACCGTTCACCGCCTTTCGCCCACGGCGAGGACGGTGGGCGTGGTTAGCTCACAATCCCATGAGGAATCCCTCATTACAAAAGCATATAAGCATCTGCCAATCAGAATACAGTTGTTTACAGTTGTTTAAAAAAACAAAAACAAAGAAACAAACAAAAAGAAACATCTGGTCATGAAGTACAGCGAGACGTCAACTACTCCTGCTTTCTAAGGATTACTATAGGAAAGAAAAAAGCCTTAGCTGAAACATCAAATGACGCTGAGCTGAATATTCAATGCTGGTCATGTTAGATAGTTTCACTGACTTTATTAACGATTTTGTGCTCCGTAATAAGAAAGGTACTTCAGAGAAGAAAAACTGTCCCATGACGGCCGCGAAGTCGGTGGAACCCGCGTCTCATGCCTTTAAAAAAAAACAAAAACAAACAAACAAAAAAAAAAGTCTGACACCCACGTGCCATTCCACGGCTGACGTGTGGTCGGGACCACCCCCGTTAAAGACCTTGTGAATGAGCCGGTGCTCAAGGCAAATGAAAGGTATTTCAACATCAGACTCAAGCACAGAAACCAGTGTCACTCCTTCCTCTGAGAGGTTGTCGACTTCTGCTTCCTTCCGAGGCTGCTGAGGCGTTTTAGCCCAGTAGAAGATCTTCCTCCCATTATAAGCCTAATCTGGAAAAGTCTGGGGCATTATATAGGTTGACAGACAACCAATATCCAGCATGGGGATTTTTCTTTTCTTTGCTTTTTTTGCTGCAAGTTTAAAAATCTTTTCTGCAAGCATTTCCGTCCAAGTTTGAAGAATGAATTCCACAAATTCCGCTGAAAAGCTTCGATCCTTCGCTGCGACAGCTGCACTGGGTCTCCCAGAGGCTGTGATGGTGTTGGCTGGATCATTTTGTTGGGGGGTTATTCGCTTTTGGATTCTCACGAGAGAATGTTCCTCTCTCCACTGCTTCCCTCAGCAGCCCGACCAGACGCCGCCATCTTCTCGACTTCCCTCCATCACTACGCGGGGCATCGGTTCCTGCCTCTCGCTTGTTCACGCGGCCTTCCTTCCCCTCTCCTTGCCCATCTGTTAGTGCCCTCTTCTTCTACCGTCACATTTCTCTCGCTGGTCATTGGTTTGGTTTCGCTATCCCGTCGCTTTCACATGGTGCTTCGGATGTAGCAGAGGAAAACAGGTATCCATTTTATGTTTTTATTATTTCCCAGATTAAAAAGCTGATGAACTAAGCTCAGCTCAAGCCTAGCTCCCTCCTTCAGGCTACCTGGAGGACACAAAATATTTTTTAAAACCTTATTTTAATTCCAGGATTAAAAATAAAAGAAAATTGTCTTTTTTTTTTTTTTAAAGATTGTCGTTTGTTGGCAAATGTAAGCCCTTTTTATACCGAAAAGTTAAAATCATTTAGTGTAACTTTCTGTCTAACTTAAAATACCTGGATACTAAAGCAGAGTAAACCTCCCAAATATAATTGTACTGTACTCACACTTTAGTACTGTGACAGTCCAGTCACGCCGCCATGTTGGTAGGCACGTTCGCCCTGGTAAGTTGAGTCCTGGGACAAAGCCACATCGATCTGGGACTTGAACTCATCGCCCAGGTAACTGTCCTGGAGAGCATAATGGAAAACATCCTTAGACGCAGGGGATTCATTCACCATTTATAGATGTGCAAATAAATTAAATGATATCAAACTAAACAGAACTAAGATCTATGCTTTTAAACAAAATATAAATAATTATATCAGGCTTGCTTGTTGAGGGGCACCACTTTAAGGGCTCTATTGATACAGAAACTGAGAATGCCACATCAATATCGGCTCTCTGTAGGAGACCACGTGCTACCTGGGACAACTCTGGCTGGGAGAGGCCAGGCTGGCTCATCTGAGAGGGCTGGCTCATCGAGATGTAACCCTGTGTCAGTGGTCCCTGAGAGAAGGACTGGGAGGCCCCGTCCTGGCTGACCTGGCTGATCAGCCCGTTACCCTGGCTCCCGGAGCCACGCATCCTTTGTCGCCCAGTCCTTCCTGGCTTTCCCTTCATAGCACCACGACCTGGATGTCCGAGCAGAGAAAGAGAGCACAATAAAACTAACTGATAGGCAACCGACTCTTTTTCGCTTCTTAAATCCCGATGTTTAACTGACTAAAGTAAAGAATTGACAGAAAATCTTCCACTGTACCTGCAGCAGGGCCGTTAGTCTGACCCAAGTAACTGGGTGGAGGCATTGGAGGCATCACCAAGTTGAAGGGTATGGGGATATTCATAGCGGCCATGTGACCGGGGCCTGCCCCAATCATCCCGATCTGGTCGTGTGTTTGGAAGTACATGTTGGAGGGACGCCCGGCTGAGAGAAAATTTAGAAAAGAACGTCATCTGGTTGATACAACAGAGGTTTAAAAGAATTTCCAAGAGTCCAAACGTTAGACAGTAAACTGATACCAGCGCTGCTGCGGTCGTAGGCAGAGCCGGGGATGAGGGCCTCACGGGCATCGTACATGGCCGTGCTCATAAAACGCCCCCCCTGAAAAAAAAAGGTCACCGTTTAGAAGGTCTACGCTTGAGGATGGAGTCGGTGAATTCAGAGACTACAGACAGACGACGCAGACTGTCCACGCGTACACTCCGACTTTGATTAACCTTTAACAGTTTTAATCAGCAGCGATCTGTCGGCCTGAGCCACTGTGCGTGCACACGGTCACACTCACGGGGTTGATGGTGTTGACCAGTTTGCGCGGCTTGCTGAACTGCATGAGGCTCTCTCTCAGGTTGTTGAGGGGTCCCTCCACAAGGACCTTCTGTTCCTTGTAGTTGTTGAGCAGGTTGTTCCACAGCGGCTGCTTGGAGAGGGCTTTGGGGTTCCCCACGATGATCACACCATATCTGTCCATGCAACACACACACACAAATTCACGTCAGCAGTGGAAGAGCGTTGGAGACCTGATTCAATAACACTGAAGTAACTGACCATAAAAAAACTGCTTTATTGTAGCTCTAAGAAGGATCTAATTAAGAAGATTTCAAAGCATCTTCAACAAGAAATATTTAAAGGGCTTGTCATAATCAAACGAGCTGACAATAGGGAGACACTATGCTGATTCCTGGAAATATCGAGGAGTTTTTACTTGGCTCTGGTGAGCGCCACGTTGAGACGGCGAGGATCGTTCAGGAAGCCGATGCCCTGATGCTCGTTGGCGCGGACGCAGGACAGGATGATGAAGTCCTTCTCTCTGCCCTGGAAGGCATCCACACTGGCAATTTCCACTTGCTAGGATGTGACAACACAGGGAGAGATCACACTGTCAGACCAGAACGACTCACTTCCATGTTTATCACAGAGTGAGTGAAGCCACGTAAAGCTCTGCCGAGATGTTTGACTGATGATTGTGTTATGGACGAATTAAAAAAGGGTGAATTTTATTGCTGAGCCAGATCAAAGCTGCTGATACCTGATAGAGTTTGGTGTGCAGGGAGCCACTGAACTGCATATACTGGACCAGGTATGAGCGCTGACCCTCGTACGGGGTGATGATGCCAATCTGGTCAGGTTTGGCTCCCGCCTTCAGCAGCCTAGTGGTGATTTTCTCTACGTTGGCCGCCTCGGTCCTACAAACATCAGCATGGGTTAAAGCCTGCACTGCTCAGTAACAGAATAAACTGAAAAAAAATTAACACTGGTTTGTCAGGATAATATCACATAAAATAAAAACACATTTTGTAATTCACAGATCCTCCGCAACGTCAGAAAAGCAAAGTAAATATTCATGTTGCAGACTTTGGCTAGATTGAATGCATCCCTCTTTACCTTTATAAGCTTTTAAAGGACCTCATTTAAAGGGATCTCAGCAGTAATTTCCCTCTGGGATTATTAAAGTATTTCTGATTTTGATCCAGATTAATGCTCATCTGTTTGGTAAGTTATCTATACTCTTGTTTTAAATTTCTAAGAGCAAAGCCAGAATATGTGTAATGTTACCTGTTAAGGTATGAGGTTCCAGAGCTGGCGATTTCCTCTTGACCCTGCGTCACATAAAAGAACATGGGCTTATCTGGCTGAGGCCACTGGAAGTCGAACCCTTTCTTGATGCGATCAGCTGCAAAAAAACAAGATGTCGTCATTACGTTTTTGTCTTGAGGAGTTTCCAGTTGTTAAACCTTCTAACAAAGAAGGGCAAAAGGAAGGAACGTTTGCCCATTCGGTCGGGGGAGATATGTTTTTACAAACCTGCAGTGACACCGTTCTGAAGGGACCCCTCGTAGAAGATGTTGGAGGGGAAAGCACTGAGCGCCGGGTGCATGCGGTACTGGACCTGCAGGCGGATTGGTCGGATTCCGAGAACCACCAATCGTTCAAACAGGGACTGAGAGAGGCCAGCCTTCGCTGCTTTCTTGCACATCACGACTGGACCCAGCTGGCAGTGGTCACCAACAAGAATGAGCTGGTAAAAAAACAGAAGTTTGATTAATGAGTTAGTTTTTTAAACGAGGTTATAAATTTGACTTCAGATGATAATCAAAGACTATAACGCAGAATAACAGAAGTCATAGCACGCTGTTTAGCCGGAAAAGACGGGGTTTCTTTGGGTTGTGTGTATTTTGGTACCTGTTTGGCCCCCAACACCACCGGCACCATGCACTCGGGCTCAGTGGCCTGGGTGCTCTCGTCAATGAGGATGGAGCGGAACTGCATCTTGGCCAGACGGGGATCTCCGGCTCCAACACAGGTGCAGCAAATCACATCAGCGTTCTACACAATAAAGAGGATAGTTTTTCAATTTTAGAGGATTACCAACAGTCCATTCTAACAGATGGTTAAAGTAAAAAATAAAACTGGACAGTAGCAGCAGAATAAAGAAAAGAGCAGATGAGGGCGTGATGTTAAAATAACGACACAGAAAGCAGAAAGAGGACTGCAGACACAGACTTTTCTCTAGATGTTGTCGATGTTGATGTGCATTCGAACTGTTCCAAAAGATTTCATGCAAATACCTATTTGCATTATACTTTGCATCTCATTAAAACTACTTTCTGCACCAGTGACTGTGTAATGCTACACCCACGATGAAACCCAAAGCCCATCTGTGACAACTCTCGTCTTTTTTTCAATAACCCCCCCCCCAAAAGATTAACAGAGGTGTGAAATGACACCATGTGAAAGTCCTGGGTGTGTCCTCACCATCAGCAGCTCCCTCTCGGCAGTACGCTTCAGAGCCCTGTAGCGCTTCTCGTCGGCGGACGACAGCTCTCCGGTCTCATCCTTCAGCTGCTGCAGCTTCTGCAGCTCCGGCATGCTGTGGAGATCACGCGCAGTGCACAAAACTGATGAGTGTCGCACACGGTAACTGTGACGTTGTTCAAAATACACCAAAACACTTTTCTGCTCCGATTCAAATCCTAAAAAAAGAAAATGCTTGTCCTAAAAATGCTATAGGAACCGAATGAATCCTACAGAAAGAGTAGGAATCTAACAGGTGAGTAAGATTCCCATTTGCTAAACCCTGGTTATAAAGCAGGGTGGTCAGCTACTTCTACTGACCTGTCCATGTTGCTGATCTGGTTATGCAGTGCCAGAAAAGACACGGGGGACTCGATGGCCTCTCGGCTCTTAGCACACAGCCTGACCACTTTCAGGCCGGTCTTGTCGATCTTCTCGGTCAGCTGGTCCACGGCAATATTGCTAGGAGCGCACACCAGAACAGGCCTGCGGCACACATGCAGCAGAGAGAATAAGAACAGGAATGGTGCCTCAAAAAAACTGCTATGAAAGCAGAATTACAGCTTTATGATGCTGTAAGGAAGAAAATGTAGAAACAAAAACTAAATGGCAAATCTCTGCCTCACCCGTTGCCCTGTCTGGACAGGTGATAGACAATTGTGGCAGATGTGACAGTCTTCCCAGTTCCGGGAGGTCCCTGGATCAGACTCAGAGGCCTCTGCAGCACCGTCTTAACAGCATACACCTAAACACGCACAACACAAAATGATTCCGAAAATATAGAGTGATTCATGGATGCCACAATAGGAAAAAAGAGACTATTTTAAAAACCCACGTAAACAACTATATAATTACAAGATTACAAGACGTGTGATTTTCTAGTCTGACCTGTGAGTGATTGAGGTCTGGCAGGCCCTGGGCAGTGAAGCGCTTCGGCAGCTGGCATTTGATGGTGACGTCCTCAACTTCGTGGCCCAGAAGTTTGTGGTATATGTAGCCGGACACAGAGGTCTCGTCTACCGCAAAGGTTTTCAGGGCACTCTGCATCCTGCAGACAAACATGCACACAAAGCTCACCATCTCCTATCTACACACTGAAGGGAGGCCCTGCCAAAACAGATGAACTGGTAAAGAATAAATCAATTCACATGTACCTACTTAAGATAATATTGTGACGAGTGAGGTATAGAGTAGAATAGTATAGTATATATTAAAAAAAAGGGTCAACAAACCTGTCAAAGGAAGTGGATTTCCAAACAAAGTCCACCTGGAAGTTGTGTGGGATTTCCACAGGTGCTCCAACACTGCTCCGCAACTCAATCGCAATTTCATCCCCGTAGTCTTCAAACAGAAGTGGTTAAGGAAACCCAGACTTGTCTTTCCATTATTTTTGGCCAGTAAGCGGCAGTGATAAACTCGACTTTATAATGAGTGCATAATGATGCAGATAGCACGTATGCCAACAGACTAAAGGATACTGTCAGGGACTTTGATGACGTGGCCTATGCCCTTCCACAGCGGGGCCAGGTCTCCCTTGTACCGCAGGCAGATCTCATCGCCCTGCATCAGCCGCATATCTGGGAAAGAAAAATGTTTTTTAGTCATGATCCGGTTTACTCTAAATCTGTCACGAGGTAAACTTTATAAAATCATTGTCAAATGACAAGTATCAACCAAACCAAGCACATGGGGCACCAACAGAGGCAGGAATGTGGGAATCTGCATGCAGTATGGAGCACTGAAGGGAGATGGGGAGGGCTACAGGCGCAACACAGAACCACTAGGTAGAAAATGAGAGATTTACCACCTGAATCTGTCTTAGGCAGTGTGAAATAGGCAATCCGCTTTTTGTTCAGCCCAAGGTCCCACCTGACTGTTATATTGTCTTGGGTCTAGAAAGGGGACATCAAAGCACAACGTCAGCTACAGATGGCAGAAATAATATCAGACATAGCATCCGATAATCATGACAGGAATTCTGTGGGTTCCATCAGCAGCAAAACTTAAGAAAATTACCTGCTATGTATAAAAAATAAAAATAAAAACCCTGATGACTTTCAGCAGTCTTCGTGGTACGAACAGTAATATTAAAAGCATAATCCTCAGTGTACCAGTAAAATGGTTGATTTGACGAAAATAAGCTTGACCAATTATCCTTAAGTCCTCTGCACAAATGCTGCTCAGATACCTGAGACTCTTTAAGCTTCTTGTCGTAGTCGGCCTCCAGTTTGACCAGAGGGCCAAAGATGTTTTGATACTGGTAGGCATCCTCATAGCGCAGCAGCACGTGCTGAGGCTCCTCATCCACGCCCGGTTTCTCCAGGTCCTCCAAGGTAGCCGTGGGATTATCCTGTAAGGACGAAAAAGAAAAAAGTAGTAAGAACTACTCCTCAAACCATGGAATTATATCAAACACACTTTCTGCTGCGCCTATCGATGATTTTGTTATTATGTAGGAAGATATTCTTATAAGCAACTGCCACAATACTAAACCTTTGACAGCCCCTTCATCATCTACAAAGAGCTCTGAACATCTACATGGCATCGTGTGTACCTTCCAGAGTTCTTCCAGCTTATTGATCTGCTGGGCAGTGATCTGACGTGCCCGAAGTTGCTCCTGCTCTGATGGGATCTTCACCAGCCAGGACAGAAAACAGCGGTCCTGGATCAGTGGCTGCCACTGGGAGCTGTCCCAGTTGATGTCCTTCAAGCTGCTCTGGCTAGCACAGGGCTGCCTGGATGGACAGATGTGGTTCACAATGGTTGATGGAGGTTTCAGGTACGCTCCACAGATAACAATGTACAACATACGGCAGTTCATTTTCCAACTCCAACAATTATCTGCTCAGAATGTATATTTTTTCTTTTGTTGTGTTTTTTTGAACAATACAAATAAGTTTTAGTTCATCTGTGACAACACCTGTAATTTAAGATAATGTAGTCATATTGAATTTTTTATTTTATCAGAAACTTACAGCCATTTTTTTTAGTAAAGCTGTTATAAAGGTTTTGTTTAACTTAGAATTATCTGTCACAAATAAAATTGAAAAAAATAAATAAATTCAAGAGTTGATCCTAAATCATAGACCAAAAATCTGCATGTAGAGCCTGAGGAAAAATGACAAGTCACAAAAAATCTCCTTACAGATGAACCATCTGTAGTAAATGTAGAACCCACAAATATACCTTTAAGGGTCCAATGCAATATTTAAGAGAGGATTTGACAGAATACATTTTTTCAGGCAGCATTAAACAATGTCTACCCATGCAGGCCCTCAGTCACTGACCTGCAAAGAAGCACCACCACAGAATCGGCTTTAGCTGGGATAAAGCCCAAGAGGAAGACATTGCGGCAGCCACAGTTGTAACATTCCAGCACTGTTTCGCCCAGTGGCCCATCCTTGTGCAGAGTCACTTCTTTGCATTTCGCCCTCACCATGTGGTTCACAATGTGGCTGTCAGGTAGATAGTGAAAGAGGGACAACAGATAACATCACAAACTCAGAAAGTTATAGACATGTTGTACTGACTTTTTTTTTTCTGCGTACCATTACACAGACACGGGACAAAACAGCATAGATTAACCATTTTACAACAGTGAACAAAAATTAAAAGGGTAAAAATGGACACCTTATTGGTTGGTTTCTCAAAAGTACAACCAAATGTTATATTTTACCATATAAATTCAACACCCAAAACAGGATTTTTTTTTTAATGTAAACCATGTTAAAATAGTTGTAATTTTTATCATCACTGTTACAGTTCAATCTTTGATCTTTGATTATTCTTTAAAATATATTTACACAGAATGAGATGGCTACTAACCTTCCAGATGTGTTGCCACGGCCATTACAGAACCACTTCTTGCTGGTATTACAATACACCACGCACGCTGGGTCGTGTATACCACAGTAGCTGCAAAGCCAACAAGAGCACTCTCAGTAATTATACATGTGTCCATCATAGGCAGCAGGACAGCACACAATAGCATTTAATGGGCTAATGCTCTCTTTTAACATACAGCGCTTGTCCTAATAAAGTTTTAAAAATTATACAAATCTACCAACCGTATGTTTACAACAACAAAAAAATCAAGATACATTTTTAAACTTGATCCCAATGATCAATAACATATTCTTTTAAAATATATATCTTATTTGCATTGTATAGCATTAAATAAACCTCAATGTAATATCCAGGATAGGAGGAGTCAGCAATTTAATAAATAAGGAGCCACTAAACCATTTTTTAAATTGAATATGTAGTGATCATACTTTTTTTTATTGCTTTGGTTATAAGTGGCTTAAACTATAGCTACAGGGATCCAAGTATCAAAGAATGACTGCTAAAATAGTATGTGAAAGTAAGAGCTAAAGCAACAAATTCAGTTACACAACGACTTCCTCTGAGATGTTCATGTGTCATGCTGGCGTGGTGTGGTTCCTGTATCAGCACCTGCAAGCGTGCACAGGTAGGTCTTTGGTGTAATACGTGTCTTCCTCATCCTCTTCAAAGTTGAGTTCGCCCAACAACTGGCTGGTCTTGCCCACGGGGTCATCCACTCCACCGTTGAGAAGACCCTCATCTGGACCATTTACCTGTAGCACAGTTCCATCTTTAGCAAACAAACTCGATGCTAACGTGTAGCAGTAAACACCAGAGCCACGCAGTGTGGCGAAGCCAGCTTCATAAATGCTCCCTCTGATCGTATAGGACTTACAAATTATTTGGCTTGGTTTCGAAAACAACCCAATAAGCAAGCCCACACAACTAATACTCAGTTAAGGAGTTTGGTTTATTGTCTTGCTAAGATGCTAAAGAGCTAACTCGAAGCTAAATAAGGCTATATCCAATAATAGCGGGCTAGCAAAGAGCCTTAGTAAGCTAGCTAACTGCCGCTAGCGCCAGTAAGTCGCGCCTTCCTAGGAGAGTGAAGGCTTCAAACCTGGCAGTCCAGCTGGCTCTGGGTCTGGCCTTGAGTTTGCGTCTGGCTGGGGAGCGTGAAGTCAGTGAAGTCGAACTCGGAGCCCTGGGTGTCTGCTCCGAGCAACTCCGTTTCCTCGGTGTCCAAGAAGGTGAGGGTCTGGGAGCTCGGCCCGTACGCCTCCACACTCATCTCGACCCTTAACTTTCGTTTTACTCAACGATTTCCGGGTTTCTGTGAAGCCTACTAAAATCCACACCGCGTCTATTCGTCGTTATATATATTATAGCGCGTCGCCGGGGGTCTGAATTTGAATAAAAATAAAAATGGAAACGATCAGAACCTCAAGCTTGTGCAGGTCCAACAGTCAGCGGCGGTGACGGACTTCCAGCGCCGCGCAACGTGTGACGTTAACTGGGGGCTGGACTGCACAGACAGCTTATTCAGGAAGAGCACTCACTTCGTCACTTTTTTGTTTTTACAGACATGAAAGCAGCGAAGGACCTCTGCAGGAAATGCACTGTACACTGTTAATCTGCCTAAAATGGAAACTTCCAGATCCACGTACAGGTGTAAGATTTGTAACTTTTGTGTGATCTTAAAAATGTCTGCTAACAGTTACCTTTTAAAAGCTGCTCCTTTACTGCGGGAAGGAAAACGACCACCGATCTTTCATTTCCCCATAAGAATATACAACTAGGTATGGAGGTAATCATGTGTCAAAGTGAACAAGGTTGTAGATTTCATTATGAAAAGTTGTACGATGCAATGTGAGAGCCTGTATGACATTTTTGGGAATAATATCAATATGAACTGGACTCGCATGAGCTAAATTTGAAGTCACATAAAGACAGAAAATGTTAACACGCCAGTCAATTTCTCACAAATTTTAATCACACAGAAAAATACTCAAATGTGAACATTTATATCTAAATTTATATATATGTGTGTGTGTGTGTGTATACAAATAGTTCTGCATTAACGGACACAGAAATTAAGAGTTTTCTTTTACTGAGTTTATTTCAAACTCTTTCTTTTACAAAGTGAGATTATTGACTTTAACAGTGCTTCAACGACACGGAGGAGAAAATCTTGCGAAGACACTCCTTAAACACAGAAACTCACAAGAAACAATGCTGGTGTACAACAGCGCACACAGTGAGATTTTTTTTTTAAAGAAGTTTTGAGGTAGCCACAAATCTGACTGCAAAGCATCAGTAATACATCTTTGAATTGAGCCACTGAGAATTATTAAGGCCTTTTCAGAGCACACAAATGACAGCAAGGCACATTAAAAACCAGGGGTCAAGGGTCACCTCGTGGGTAAACATCAGGCACAAATTGTGCAGACCACCCTTTCATATCTTAGCACTCACACAGAAAGCTACACTGTCAAAATGTTAGCACCTAAACACACTGATTTAAACATGGCCCTCGGTTTAATAACTCAAGATTTCTAAAACATTTAACCAAGATGCTAAAATTTAAAGATTATAAGACATTTTAGGTTGTGCAGCATGTTACAGAACTTGTTGAAATGCAGGAAATACACCGTTTGAAAATGAGAATTCACTTAAACTGTGGCATCAACTTGCAAAACACAGGATGCAATATTATACTCTTTAGACAGGGTTTGCCAGAACAGTGGAAAACTGTAACTGTGTGTGGTGTAGTAAATAGGTTATTCAATTATTACAGGTTATTCTAAAACTATTTCCAGCTCCAGTCAAACCTGAAGCAGTGTTAGGTGACATAGGCTGTCCTAACAGCTCAGTAGTCAGGTGAGACTCTGGTCTACACAGTAAAACAGAAGACAACCCAATAAAAAATGGCAGATTTACAGCTTTGAGTGTCACTATCACATGATGGAATCTGCTACTGTTTGAGTTACAGGTTAGAAAAAAAGTGAAAAATGAAAATAAGCTCACCAACAAAGAAAAAATCACATACAACATGATAGTTGGGAGAAAAGTGTTAAAAATGGATGCGCATATGTCTACAAAGCTACATGTTTCAAGTTAAAGTGACTGAAAATAAAAACGTAAAATGCAACCATTCACATTTAGAAGTTCCAGATTTAGTAAAACTGACATAAAAACAGAAAGTGCAACAGAAATCAAAAAAGAAAAGAAAAATTCAATCAAAGCCCAACTCTGACCAATCTCGGGAGTTAAACTTCATGAAATGGACTTTTCACATTACCATATCGAACATTTCAGTTCAGTGAAGAGCATATCAGGAAGCTTTGATGAGTGAGTTATAACTGCACAGCTCTAAAAGAAAGCCTAGAAGTTTAAATTTGGTTTTGAATTGCATATTTCTGATGCAATATCTTTGAGATACATATACATTAGTCATCTCCACACATCAGTGGCTTAATATGAAGCTCAAAGCAGTTCACCTTCCTGGAATCCTGCACCTTAGACTTTGATTGTAGAATTTCCCCTTCAAGTAGCTGTAATAAAATAACATTACCACAGTATCAAAAAAATTTATAGGCAGTTTAGATTGTACATTTGTCCCCAAAATAAGTCTCTCATTTCATGCAGCCATAAAATGTCTGGAGTTAGGACTTGAAGGCCATAAGTCTTTTAAACAGTTGTGCAGCTATAACTAAACAATGGAGGAAATGTCCCGCGTTAAGCAGTAAACGAGATCTGTAAATTAACATTGCACAGCCCGAGGCCAGATCTCAATGGGTGAGAGGTAATTTTTTTTGTTCTTGTTTTTCCGTCAGAACTGGGCCAAAATAACTGGGGAAGTATGAGCTGGAACCAACCCGTTCCCTGATTTAAATAACCTTTGTAAAAGAAGGCATAATTTACAACTTCTTATAAAGAAAAAGGACTTGAGAAACAATTCAGTGTGAAAGGCTAAGGACAGCTGGGAAAGAAAAAAAACATTAGAAGGAAAGTGAAATGAGCAAATTGTTCACAACTAATCTTTTGTTCTCTTAACATAATGTACATTGACAACTGTCACGTAGATTTAAACAGCTGCTAACCAAAATATATCATGATGGAGCAACAGCTCAAATTGAAAAATTAAGAGACTTTCTGCAGAACTAGCGCTTAGATTCTACATTTTCCACCAAGACACATCCTCTACAACTCTCTGGATTACCCTAACCCTATAAGGTGCATGAAGAGAGGACATATTTGGGGTGAAGAACAACAAATGACTCCATTGCTGAAGAGGAGCAATTAACATATCGTATGTGAACACGTGTAAGCAGATCTTTGCTTTGCTTTCTAAGTTTTTTAAACCATGTTTCAAACTCAGAAGTCTTCAGGTTTCAGCTCCTTTGAAGTGGGGAAAAAAGCCTAGAATTCAGTTCACTGTTGTCAGTTGACACTCCCAATTTATGTGGTCACCGTTGGGGGACATGAAAACATAAACAATCAGGTCTAGCAAAAACACAGATTAATAGAAAAAACAACCAAACAAGCGTTGAAGAACAAACCTAATCTCAGAAGTGTCAGTATGTCCATGTAAAGACTTGGTTTTAAAGAGGAAGCTTGGCTACTTGTGGTCAAGTGCAATGTCTCTGATGTGGCGAGGGCTGGGGAGGCTGGCTGGCATCTGAAGGGCACTTAGTGGATGTGTTGCTGGCACTGGATCTTCTCTTCTGCCTGGTCCAGAAGCTCCAGCATCTCCCGGATGATGGCCTGCAGAGCGCGTCCCAGGTCTTCCCCGCTGTAAGGCTTTCCGAGAGGAGGCACGTGAACAAAGGCAGAGCGGCCGTGGCTTAAGTAAAGCGATGTGTAGTAGGTGAAATCACACAGATATCTGTTAGGAAAGAGAGAAGAGCAAAAATAAAGAGATTTACTTCAGTAAACATAAAAAAATCTGTACTTAATATTTCTTCTACTGCTCTGCTGTGTCCATCAGCTAGTCGGAGGACATGCTTTACGGCTGTCTTTTGTTTAATTTCAGTTCTTATATTAATGTTATCTTAAGGAAATTGTCTTTCATTTATAATGGTGATATGAAACGTTTTGTTCCTCAAAAAAGAAGCATTAGCTAGAGAGGTAAACGGCTAAACAACAGGATGTGCACAACAAAGGAAAAAAAAAAAAAGAGAGATAAATCACCTTCCGGCATCCTTTGAGACAGAGACAGCAACTCCCAATCCCGACGCGGTCACTCTCTTGCAGACCGATTCCATGTCAATAACCGAATTGATACAGTCCGGGCCGCCAACAATGCAACACTGTGTATCTGGACAAAAGCTGCTGTTGTCCAAGCCCTTGTAGCCATGATTTCTCCCACACTTCTCCAGTGTAACAGTGGTGGCCATTCCAGAGACTCCGACATGAACGACCAGCTTGGCAGGAAAGGAAAACAATAGAAACGCAGTCAGAATGACATCCATCATATCCCTTCTACCACTCCCTGTGAAAATGTCTCCTTTTGTATGGTACGAAACGCATATGGGAACTTTAGAAAGTCAACCTGACACAGAGGCAGGAAGCTTTCCTCTTACCTGTGGATGATACTGCTTCCATAGTGATGGAACCAAACTCTGGACTGTCTGGTACTCCACAGGAACCTCATACACATTCAAGTCCACACCACTGCCCAGTCCGAGCTTCTTCAGTTCCTTTCCAAAAAAATAAAAGCATACACAATTTTCTTAAATATGGCATGCAATTTTTAAAACTATGTTTTAAACATCAGCTTTGCATTTGTGTCCCATCAAGGAAGAACGCCTCTTCGCTGCATCACTGTTTCCGTATGTCACATTTCAACAATTCACTTGGACAGAGTGCATTACTTAACCAAAGGGAGAAAAAAAAAGATGCAGTCAGTGATATCATAAGTAAGACAAATCTGTGACCAATTTACAGCTAACACCTCCCCCACTCCCCCTTGCAGGACACTGATACCCCCACCTCCCCCACTAGTGTTGAAAAGGGGCTAGTTTGACCATGTCTGTGACCCGGCTACAATGCAGCCTTTTGTTTGCCTCTAATATCCTTATCAAGTCCGTCTAGACATCCTGACAAGGGCCATCATCCCCCACATAAAGCCTCTGACAAATACTGCTGAGCAGTGGGGCCTGCCGGCAGCTAACAGAGCCTCACATAGCTGTTAACTCAGTTAAGTTCAAATGCTGCCAACAACAGCACATGAAGGTGAACACAGAGAACTTAGTTTTCTTAGAAAGGATAGGTTTAAATTGATGTGATCACAGAAAAATAAATAATGATAAAGAAGACAGTTTTAATGGATGGTTGAAAAGATACCTGAACTGCTACCCAGCTGGCATTGACGGTGTGCTCTCCAAATGGCCCAAAACCTACAAAAGATGTCAGTTATTTGGGATGCTCAACTGCAACCGATAAAGATTTTTACTCTTTGCAGAATCACGCTTTTGCAATTTTAAAGCTCAAATGTGATAAACACATCAGATATATCATAATATTTTGAGTTTTAGATTTATTTTTCTTATGCGAAACCCCTACAGACCCCCATCCATTGGTGTCACTATTTCTTTACAGTGAAGAAATCTTTTGAGCAAACAAAAATTGTGGCTCCTTCTTTCATACACTACCTGGTAGAACCCACAGGAAACTATCTGGGAAGATGATGGATGTTCACTCTATCTTGTTTATATAGGGATCTACAACTGATTCCCCCTCCACCTCCCGTGCCTGGGTCAGCAGGTCCCTGGGGGCTGGGTGGAGAAAGGATCAGTCTGTCTGACAGGCTGCTGAAAAGGAGCAGAGTGAGGGGCCAGCAGCTGCCAGCCAGTCCGCTATTGTGACTGTGCCGTTCCCAGGCAATCTACACATCTTCTATCAGATGGGTCCTTGGGTTTCTACACTCCTTTGTGTCTGAGAATAGAAAATCACCGCCATACTTACTTCTGCTAAATGTACAGTTCAACAACTTTAAAAAATCAGAATATTAAAAGGGAAGAGTGAAGTTTCAAAGTTTGTTCTTTATGGGAACAGAATCTTACATATACTGTAATGAATGAAGATGTATTATAAATGATAAACTATTAATGAATGTTACAATAATTATTCTTCATTCTGCTATTCAATGAATGGCAATACAAAGCATGTTGTCTACAAAATTACACTGAATCTGATTCAGACTGCTGTTACAATGAACAGTTTTTGTTCAGCATTTATTACAAGTATATAACAGGAAAGACAACAGATTTGCATACAGTAACTACTTTAGGCAGGTATCAAAAGTTAAATATGAGAAGTCTATGGTGGTTTATGAATACATCTACAATAAAACCATAGCTAGATGTTGAGAATGACAGTAACAGTTTGACAGAGAATTAAACTGTCAACATTAAACAACTAAGAAGAACAAATCCAAAGTTAAGGCTACAATTACCTTGTAATATTAACTAAACTCAATTAAATTAATTGTTGCTAAACTAATTTACTGTAGTTTTGACTACCTTTTTTATTATACTACAGGTACATTGGTAAAATTAAGAGCAACGTTATTTGTAATAATGAATGTATTTTGTTCTATTAATTTTGAAAGATTATAATAGAGCTGACACAACACAAATTAAGTGATGTCTGAAAAATATACACATATTTACATAAATAATAACATCACAGTGTGTATTTCTCTTCCGCTTTGTGGTTTTATGCAGCCCTTAAGCAAATAAATAAGATAATTCTATCTGAGCGATTAGCCTTTATTTTGGCAGTAAACAGGAAAATGGACTGTTTAAGGATCAGACAAAGCCCTTCTTTCAATCCCAAACTGCCGCGCCGAACAGCCTGACGCCATTAAGGGCTGTGCAGCTGTCATCCCTGCAACTTTTCCTCCACTTCAACCGTTCCTAAAATCGCATAGAATTGCAACAATAAGCGATAAACAGCAAAAACAAACCTGTGACAACCACAGTCCGTTTGTTATTATCCATCTCTCGGCTTTTTGTGAGGTATCCGTCGCTCTCTTTCGGCTGTTCAATTTGAACCAGAACGGCACATAAAGTTGCAGTCCTTCGCAGCTGAAGCCTTCTTCTGTCACTCTCCAAAGGAACCTGCCGTTCTACTTCATTCTGCAGGTTGCGTGAGCTGTGACGTGATTGCGTCAGCTGAGATACACTGAAGTATGGAGGCCCAAAAGGGACTAAATGAACTAAACGGAATACAACTGTTCAGCCAATGCATGTAACACGTCTGAAACGATTCTGATAATTTGATTTTTTTAATAACGATTTGCCTTTCACCAAAAAGATAATACGAAAACTGAACAATACTCTAATTTCCCAAGTTATAGAAAGTTGTATGTTTGAGATTGTATTTCTTTTTCTTTCTTTTTTTTAACCTATAACTCAATAATAACTGGAGAACAAATGTAATTGCATTTACAAGATGCAGCATGAGTTACTAAAAGAGAACGTGCAAGCACTTGATTACGTGCACCTGGGACTATACCTAGGGGATGTAGTCTTGATTAAATACAATGCTGTGTGTACATTAAAAGAATAATGTGGGATTTCAAGCTTATCATACATATATTTAGGGAGGTCTATGGAATCCAAATTAACGAATGAATGTACGCCCTTTAGACGCTAGGGGGCGCATGCTTTAAGCCAGACGGCAGACCGATAGACGAAGAAGAGTAGTGGGTACGAAAAATCGTGCTGGTAAACGTTTGACATAAAAGAAAAAAGAAAGCTATAAAAATGGTAAGTATTTATTCAGTAGTCTGCCGTTCTCTTGCTTATCTCCTTCCAAATTGCACACACTTTATTCGGCTTAAAAAAATAGTGTTAGCAGCTTTGTGGTGTTAGGTAGTAGGCTTTACGCAAGCTACCTTTAGTTAGCCATTGTAGCTACGTTATATTCCTATCATGCGAAATAGTTTAATTGAATGCACAAAAACATAACAAACTTTTTTAGAAATGTTTTGTGATGAATATTACAAAATAACTTAAAGCCAAAGCTGGATCAATTGTTACATAGATACTTTATGACTCGTCTCGATAATGTCATGAAAATGAAAGATCTGAAAATGCATTGAAGAGCTGCCATTGCGCCAGACCACGCGTATTTGTATAAAACGTAATAATTTAGTAATTGTTATCAAGTTCATCTTGGTGAGCAACTGGTATCTTTTTTCTTATTTGTGACCTTTTTTGTCATTTGACAGCTTCCCCTGTCTCTGTTGAAGACTGCACAGAACCATCCCATGGTGAGGAGACACTGACTCTTGTGGCGCAAATTTGACCAGTTTTAGTGTGTTATCCTTCAGAATGTGCTAAGAAGTGGATTGGTTTGGCTTACTAATTTTGAAAGTCTTTATGTTGTTTTTATTTTTTATTTTAGCTCTTGTTTATTTGCTATCATTATAAAGTAACTGTTATATAATGTGTTCTGCCATATGAACTGTTTTTGTTATACTTTATAAGATTTGTTTGTAAAAAAAATTAGAATAAAACAGACCGGAGGTCTTTAAGGGCTGTTTAAAACAATGTTGATTTTCCTGTTTATGCTTTCCTTAGCTAGTGGAGCTGAAGAATGGAGAGACATACAACGGCCACCTGGTTAGTTGTGACAACTGGATGAACATCAACCTGAGAGAAGTCATCTGCACCTCCAGGGTAAAGCTGGCCATTGCTCACTATGCTGTAGAACCAGCCGACAGGACATGTATGATGTTTGTTACTGTAAACCAAAGGCAGGCTTCACACCAGGGCAGTCGTGGATGTGTGTTCTTCTCTTATTCCCAATCCTCTTCGGGAGCAAACAGAAGTAGTCTATAATAATGCATGATATTAATACTACTCATTTGCTTTTTCTTATTTTCATTCATCTTGATTACAACAGCTGGTATGTGCTGTAGGAAGGTTTTTCATGTGACAGAGTGTAGAACATTTTTTACACAGATTGATGTTTTGTGAGCAGTGCATGGCGATTAATCATGGGGATCATGTTACACTGTTTCCTTCACAAAGGATGGAGATAAGTTCTGGAGGATGCCAGAGTGTTACATCCGTGGAAGCACCATCAAGTATCTGCGAATCCCAGATGAGATCATCGACATGGTGAAGGAGGAGGTGGTGTCGAAGGGCCGTGGACGCGGTGGTTCCCAGCAGAACAAACAGCAAGGAAAGGGGAGAGGAGGAGGAGCCGGCCGAGGTGAGGCAGAGCAACCTTTGTTGTTACGTACAGTTACAGAAGCTAACTTCTGTTTAGTAATACAATGCTTTCCTCCTCCTTAATCCTGCTTTTATCAGAGCTAACAGAAGGTTGCTGTTGTTGTGTTCTTTCGCAGGTTTGTTTGGCGGCCGTGGCAGAGGGATGTCCGGTCCTGGACGGGGCCAGCAACAGCAGCCTGACAAAAAAACAGGCAAACCTCAGGGGATGAAAAACCAGCACTGACAGAGGCCACTGCATCTTTAAAAACCCATCCTGTTAATAGAGTGATTCAAGTTTCAGTACATGACAATAATTCTCTGCTGTTTCTTTCTGCTGTGATGTTGAGAAGGACTGATCGTTGCAGGCACTGCGAGACACATGAGACAAGCAGTGATTATGCACTGAGGGTTTTTTTCTTCTTTATTGTTTGGGTGTCTTTTTTTTTGAGTGAGTGTATCACACAAAAACATCCTTTTCGTATTAAGAAAATACTAAAAAACTATCATTTTTGCCTGTGTTGGTACACTGGAAGCTTTTTACTTTAAGCTTTTTGGACAGCCGTTTGCTCAGGCGTAATTTTCATGCTGTAGAAAGCACCCAATTCCAAATTCTGTTTCAGAAGTACTTTTAAAAGTTAATTTGTATGCCCTTTTATTTTACTGTCTGTTTGTCCTGTGCGATCTGATCACAGCAGGTGAACAGCTGAGAGGATTCAGTCAATGGACAGTTTTGTTGAAGCATTTGTAAGACTTACACAACCATGATTAGGATTTCAAGAAAAAAGTCCAACATGCATTTTGTTGGTTGCATTTCTTTTTATTTTTGTAACAAAAGACAATGTTGTAATTTATTTACATGAGAATAAAATGGCTTTTGTTAAAGCATCTGTCTTTATCGTTGGATCAAACTGCCTTGTTGAACTGTTCATTTCATGGATAAATATGTCCTTAGAATTACAACAGAAAAGTTACATCTCCACATCTCACAATTCTGGCTGAAAGTACAATTTTGATGATCCCAAAGTGAGCGAGAATGGTTTTGGTTATGGTTACCTTTATATCCACATAAAAATCACATGGCCTTCCCGCAATACAGAGAAGGACATGAATCATGCTGAAAATGATGGTTACAAGAAAATGATAAAAGCATTCCATACAATCTCAAATCATCATTCAAAACAGTTAAAACATAATTAGAACATACAAACTGAATATTGAGGTCGTTTTATTGAACTAGCTCCTCATAAAACCAGATTTTATTGTCTACCTGAGCTTATATTGCCACAAACTGAGGCCCCTCCACTTCTTAACAGTCCATGCAGAGAGCCACACCCACTGATGCAAGACCGATTAAGGTGGAAAATAAATCGTAAACACGTCTGGGGCAGTAACATTATTACACCATTATTTTGTATGTTACAAGACAAACGATGAAAATAAGCAACACCATTCCACGTTGAACATCCTCCAATGAGAGTCGCAGAGAGGGAAACTTAGTCATCTTAAATGGGCTCAGTAGATTATCAGGAGGAACCAGTCCCAACCAATCCCCACCCGTTCCAGGTGGAATTTTACAGTGAATAATACTGTGAAGAGTAATTAGAAATTAGAAAGCAGTGTGAGGTTTTAGTGTAATTCAAATTCTAACATTCCTAACTTGATCTCTGGTCTCAGCTAAAGCATGCAGTAATCCATGCTGAAACCATAAGGTGGCAACATTCACTCACAGAAATACTCGCTCTCTCCACTTGCCTTCCTTACCATAAAGAATAAGCAGCTACAGCAACATGCTTCCATAGATCTTTCTCTCATAGCAGACATTTTGACATATCATGGAATGAAATGATATGGCGTTATGCATGCTTTCTCAAATCCAGGTTTTCCAGGGCAATGACAGAAGGTCTTTATCTTTTCCTGTGCTTTTCATGCTATGACAAGTCAACATGTCTACTGGAAAAAAGAAAAGAGAAAAGCATTTAGTCTTCAATCATTAAAGAAATAAGCTTTAGAATAAGGAAAAAAGTCATGGTAAAACTGTTTGACTGATAAATAGTGTGAGGAAAAGGTGACCGTTTATTTCTTAAGTATGTCAAAGAACTACTGGACCTGGTGAGGAAAAAGGGCGAATTTCCAATATCTGTCCAGTGTGCTGATCTCTAGAATGGTCCACAAAATGAGAGTTTTCAGAAATAATGCTGTTTGTTATGCAAATTATGGCTGGGTGTTCATTTATTTACTGATAATGTGCCTTGAACGAAACAACTAAGCAATTAATCCACTATTTCCAAATCTCACTCGGTTCAGATGGTTGATGTAAGACCAAAACGGGCAAACGGATGTTGATTATCAAGTTATCATTTTCTAATTTTTTACCATAATTTTTCAGGACCAATTCAGTGCAACTCAGCGGTTTGTACACTTATTCTTTTCGACTCAGTAATATAAGCCATGTTTTGGTATAACAAAGCTAAATACTCCTTTCCAAAATAAAATGATGACAAACTAAATGACACCATCTTTTACATGTGTCACATTTAAAAAAAACTATTAAATAAAGTCAGAGAAGAGAGCCAGCTGAAATGACCTATGTTAGTAGCCAAAGAAAACAGCTGTTCATTTGCCACAAATGAGTGCTTCAATTTCCCTGAAACTGAATTTCATGTTACTTTGAATCAATGTGCAGGATGTTTTTTTTTCTCATAATGTAGCCCTGCATATGCAAGATGGCATCTAAAAGAAAGGGGAAAAAACACTTTTTCCCCCTGCACCCAAAGTCGGTGCCCGAGAAGCGTGAAAAATCATATAATCTTGTTGCTGGGCTCGACTGTTAACCATGCTAACAGGCTTAGACGTTGTGTGCTGCAGTGTGGGGGCGAATCTCATAGCTGGGTTGCTGAGTTTTCCTCCTCTCCCTAACCACCCACACATCTCTTCCAAACGCACATAGACACACAGCACAGCAGTTGGCAGCCAATCACTACCTTCTCCTTCTTTCTATTGCTTTTACCTGCGTCACTCTGCATGTGTTGCCATGGTGATGGCTGATGCTCCCCCCACACTTTGTGTCTCTGCTTTTCCAGTGCGAGGGTGAAGCCAATTCGTGGTTGGTGATGAAGGCAGGCTGCAGACGTCATCGCTTCCCTTGGGAAGGAGGACTATTTTTACCAGCAGGCACAAAGTATACCAAGCTGCCAAACATATTTATGGGAGCTCATCGAAGCCCTGCCTGCCAGGAAATATCTCTCACCGCAGACCTCTGTGTCCATTCATTTCTCATGAATGTTGTTCCATCCAAAGCGTATCAGCGTTGTCCTGGTTACTGTGATGGTTTATCTGTTATAGTCTGTACCCAAAGGGAGAAATCGCACATCCCTCACCAACCATATAAATGTCAGGAAGCCATGATAAATAAAGGAAAACCAAACTCTGGCCTATGCAAAAAGGCTGTAAAAAAAAAAGGCTTTTTTTGCTAAAGGATAAATCAGCCAAATGCTTCCCTGCTTCCCAGAATGACATTGTCTCAGGATGCTGTGTGATTATGATGAAGCCAGAAGTAATTTTGGTAAAAAATATAAAGATTAAATTAAAAAGATCAAGGTACCACAAACTAGAAGAACGCAAGCATTTTTTTCCATATGGTCAATTTAACAAAATGAAAATGTCATTAATTGGGCCACATTGTAGGGAGGAACTTTTTGAGAAGATACAGTGTGTATGAATATGTGAAGTCACGCGTAGGAGAAAAACACAACCCCTGGGCCGACTCTAACACTCTCTGACAGCTTTGATCTGGATTCAATTGAGTTTTTATGACAAAAGCGATGCCTCCCATACAAAAGAAACGTGAAAATGGGACTTATGATTAGAACCAGAAGAATTACAGACTGTCATCTTGCCCAGAAGCAAGTACCCTGCCAGGTACGTCACAAGCCTGAATCGGACAAAGCGAGCCAAGAAAATTTAATGTATGGATGAAGAATTTAGAAAACCAAATAATCTGTGGCACAGTGTGACACACGTGTGCATATTATCTAGATTTCAGTGTTCAGCCTGTTTTGCATGCTTGTGGATAAAACCTGGAGACACACTGGAAACTATCATGAAAGACAGAAATAATCAAAACCAGTAGTTTCTTGTGGACTGGAAATAAAATGCTGTGGCATCACTGAGCAGTTGCAGCAAAGTTTCTGTTCAGATGTGGCCCCTCAACCTGTTGACCTCCCACACTTTCTCAGAGGTTTTAATTGCTAACACATTCAAACTTATGAACAGACGTGTATATAGGAATGGGAATAACTAATGTACATATTTCAAAACATGAATGTAGTATGAAAAAGTATAAAGAAGAACAACACTAAATTTATGATCTTGATTAGATTTCTCAAAATGTTTCCATGAAATGTAATTTACATGTTTTCAGTTTCAAAAGGGAGCTGGAAAATGGATGGAAACCTCTATTCTTTATCTGCAATGCACTTTGCTTTGATATGCAACATACCGTCACTACAGAAACACAAACATGAATTGTAGCACAATGTTGGGCCTCACGGTTTACAGGTGAAATAATACTGATTTTAATGGGAATTATTTTCTGAGACTAAAACTATTATTGCAGCTAAATGTGTTTCAAATGCTTAATTTCAGTTGAACACAAGATAAGAAAGATGTACTCTTAGTAAAAGAGCACAGAGCAAAATAAGCCCATCAATAGCCTGTCAAAAAAATTGACTTAAAATATAAATCAACTGTCAAATTTGAAACAAGATAGAATAAAGATCCATTTCAAATCTTTTGGTGGCACGTGAGCACTGCAACAGTGACATCTATACATGGAAAAAAAAGCGTGCCTTTGTTTTTCTACCTCAGCTAAGTTGTAACCATGAGAAACTCATTGAAGTTTTGTGGTTACGGGTTTGAAATTGCCGACATGTACTTGTGGGTGCACAGGTGTGTGTGTGTGTGTGTACTTTTTTTAAACGCTCAAACACACTTTTATGTCACACACAGGGTTCCTACATCCTCCTTCAGTGTGGAACTTCACCCACACTTAGAAACTACGTCATCAGGCGATGGAGCAGCTTAGTGGGGCTCATGTACACCCACGGACACATTTATTAGGACTGTTAACCCATTTATTTACTAAAAAATATGATTCTGAAATAGAAAAACAACTATTAATTGTCTCCTAGCGAACACCATTAATAAACACTTTATATAGATTACATAATTTGACACTAAAAAATAGGAATCTATTTATCTTTCAAGTGAAGCTTTCCAGGTAGTGAAACTACTAAAGGCAGCAGGACTTCTTGATAGTCCACATACGTTTTACTCATGCTCTTAGGATTACCACAACCTAGATGACTGAGAACCCACTCCAACATAAAGGTAGCAGCTTTACTAAAAATGATCAACTGTTCCCAACAGCTGCTCTCTAAGGGGAACTGGAAAGTTAATTTGTTGAACTGGATAATAAAGGAAAAACTCACTGGAATGGTCCCACAGATAGTTTTACAACCATCCTACTGCTACATTTAAATCATTAGAATATATTTGTTTTATTTTTCTCAGAAATTATTAATCTAATATTGCCTGAACAGTTGTACAAACTTTGTTTTCAACTAAAAGGAAGAGCATGGTCACGGCACTGCTGCTTCTGATTAAAGAACAAACCACATTGGAAACAAAGCTATAGTGTGTGAAAGGTGAGAACAAAAGATCAAATATGGTGTCAGCTGTATTTTGAGCACAGGGGACCACATAATGTCACATCATTCAAATACATTTTATCCAACCTAACCCTAACCCTAACCCTTTATTTAGTCATATCCTTGATGACCAAACCAGTTTCAAGCAAAGCAACAAATGAGAGAACATATCTGTGGTCCTCATAGGGTTCAAACCTCACTAGAGAATTTCAAGAAAGTCACAAAAGCAAGTGATGGATGCTCATTCCTGGTAAAGTTTACACAGTGTTATCAGACACACGGTGCTGTTGAATGTTCTGTTCTTCTGTGTTAATGGTCATAGTGTAAGAACAAAACTGGGGGCGTGGTGGTTGGCACCGTCGCCTCACAGCAAGGGGGTTCCTGGGTACTCAGGCTAACTGGACTCTCCAAATTGCCTCAAGGAGTGAATGTGAGTGTGTGTGGTTGTTTGTATCTGTGTGGAAGCCAAATTTTTCAAATAAATGCCGAACATTCCTGCCGTGTTTCAGCAAGCAACCCTACCTCCCAGCCAGTGATGACAGGAACTGTTGAGACTTTAATGTATCCCACATTTTCATGTTGACTCGTACTTAGAGAATGAAGTTTTAATATATGATGAACCGCTATCTCTAAGAGCTGCCATTAGCTGAGTGTTGCTTCTGGTAGTTTGTTGCAATGTGGGGTCAACTCAACCAAACAGCCTCATGAGAAAATGTGTAAAACTTATATTTGTCCACTTGTGTCACAATACATCATCAGAAATTGTAAGACGGCAGCCAATCCCCAGGCTCTAATCTGTCAGGCTGCATTCCTGTGAAATGAAAAGATTTGTATCATATGAACTGAGAAATGTGGGCGCAGTACGCCAAGCCTGCCTTGTACTTTCAAGTGTTCATAGGTGGGAGCACATTTGGAATAATAGTCACAAGTGGAGGGATAATGGAGTGTTGATTGATGACTGCCCTCTCCAATCTTTCCTCTTCATCAGTGTAAAAAGTTCAACACTGATTAATGTTTTCATTTTCGAGCCCCTCATAATGAACTGAAGCCATTGATGATTAAGATCATCTCTATTAAAAAATATTTCATTCGTCTACTATCACAGTTGTAAGTGGGATAAGTCACTGCCCAGATGCTAACAGTTAACTCTGAGACTGCATGAAAATAATTAGAAAAGTGCTCGTAACTCTTCTCAAATCCCTCTTTGAAAAAAAAATCTTCTCCAGTTCCCTTGATGCATCACCAGTCATTTATTCACAGAAGTACAGCTGAATAAACAGCTTCCATGTCTTGATAATTTACTTTAAATGCAAAAAACAAACAAAAAACAACATCTTTTTACTCTATTAGATTATCATGTTAGATCTGAATTCCTTCACAATCCGAAAATAAATGTGGGCAAGTAGAAACTGGATGTAGAAGCAAACCTGTAAATTACGTTATTTGGTTGATTGCAATTCATCATATTTTGGATGCATTTTATACAACATTAAATCAAATTCTGTGTCAATTGAAAACATTTAGGGAACATTCAACTCATTGTGCTGATTGTGATTGTACCACTTTTCCTGGCTCGAGCCCGCAGCACCCCCACTGATTTACAGCTTTTAGACAAAAATATCTCCCCTGTTGGAAAGACACACAGGCGCACAGCCTCCATTTCTGCCACAGCATTAGGAGATGTGACATCACAAGCATCTAACATGTGATCCACCCTCACAAAGCTTTGTAGTGATAGATGGAGCCTACCTGTGACGCACAAACTTTGTCTGCGTAACCCTTTACATTCTGGAGAAGTATTAATGAACCAAACAAAAGCCATTATCCCACGGCATTCATTTGGATATTGACCGGTCGAATACAGAGATGGTTGGAAGAGGGAGCTCTCGACGGATCTGGGTTTAAATAGAAACACATTTAAATTGAAAGGTTGGCAAAGAAGTGCCAACAGTTCAAAGTTTGATCAGCTTATAGGAGCAAAAGTTGCTACATTTTTACAAAATGTGCATCAGAGCTTTCATTAGCTGAGAAAAGTTCTTCCTCTGATTACTAAACTTAAAAGGGATATTCACACTTCTCTGAATAAAACTGTATATCTTTCTGCTTTTAATTCTTTAAAAGCAAAACTCAAAATGCACTTTACCGTCAGACTACATGGTCGTGTGTGAAACCAAATCAGGCCTAAAATCAGGACTGTGTTCCTACTTACTGACCAAAGGAAATGTTGAAATAAAACCAGTTCAGTATTCGGCTGCCAGAAACGCTGATGTCCAGAAAAACAATTTTGTAGTTGAGGACGTAAAAGAGAAGTAGGTTTTCCCTTCAGCGTCAACATAAACCACAAAGAAAATAATTAGCGGCAGTTCATGTTTAGAAATACAAACTTCTGTTGTGTAATAAATATATTCCTGTAGCTTGAATGTAGCTGATATATTCATTATATCTTCCAATGTAGTTTCTAAATTCTTTGAATTAAAAATCAGGCCAAAACTGTTCATTTTCATTCTGAAATATTAACTGCAAGTTTACCTCTCTTTTTAAGATTATGAAAGCTCTGCGCTAAACATTCCAGAATTTTTTTTTTCTGCAATGAAGGTATGTAGGCCTAATCTAATCAATGCTCTCCATGACATCAATCCTCCAAACACCACCTCAATGTTTTTTAGTTTATTCCACTCCATGGTAATAGATGTGCTCAAAGATTGTCTATTAAATAAAGATTTACTATGGAGGAAGTGACGTTTCATTCTGAAATTTCTATAACACAGCAGTGGCAGTCCACGTCTGGGTCTCCCTAAACCAGCAGCCTGATTCAGATAAACAGAGCAGGTCTTCAGAAGCTCTGCAGAAGGCTGATGAAGACCCAGTCATTTGAAATAGGTGTGCTGGAGCACAACAATATGGAAGAAACACACAATAGTGTTTTTTCAAAGGTCAGGGTCTGCAAACACTGTTGCAAACGGATGTAACTCTTCATAGGAATATCACCAACCTTTGGATCACATACTGTGTTTTGCAGTCAGGTTTTTTTTTCATTTGACCAACACCACAACAAATGGCAGGAGTGAAAGTAGAGTCTGCTTTTCAAAGCAAAAAGGGACTTTTCCAATTAAAAGGAACACAATGACTTTTAAAACATGTTGTTGACTAAATAGGGAAAATCTAAAGTTTTCTGTAAAGCCCTAACACACACATAGTTTGTGTCCTTTGGAATTTAAAATCTTTAATCATATAGTATAGTACTATTTAATTTAGTACCTAGCTTTGTTTGTATCTGAAAGTTGTTGTTAATAAACCAGTGTAGTATTAACCGTGGCTATTATCTACATGTGACATATTGCTTTACAAGTCTAAGAATTTAAAACAAGACATTCTTCAATTAGAATATGGCAAAAATGTTGGTGATATTGCTTCTTTACAAACAAAATCACTACCAAATATCGTCAACGTCGAAGGGGCTGGATTAGAGTTACCCACTTCCAGGAAAAGGTGCAGAGTGGGAACTCTTTGTATCGCTTCTCTGTTTTTTTTTATTCAAATAAGCTCATAATGCGCGTGCTCTGACGTGACATAATGGAACGTCCCAGCGCCCCATTCTAAAAGCTGGAGGCTGCTCGCGAGCGAACACTCTCACTAAGCTGGAGGACAGGAGCTGTCACCTGGCCTGGTTCGGTGGTAAAACCCAGATTTAAGAGCGGAAATTCCACATAGCAGCTTCTATTTACGAGGCTATGGACAGGACACCGGTCTGAGAGAGTGTCGAGCAGCCGGACGTTTCGCTTTACTCGCTAAAAAAAATAAAAATAATGATGAAGAAGGATATTAGCTTAAGCCTGGCGGACGACGCAGACCTCAAACCTCACCTCCGCGACGCCGAGAGCATCCTCAGCTCCCCGGACCTGGGGCTGCTCAAGCTGGCCTCCCCGGAGCTGGAGCGGCTCATCATCCAGTCCAACGGAATGGTCACCACCACGCCGACCAGCCCGCAGTTCCTCTACCCGAAGACGGTGACGGACGAGCAGGAGTTCGCCGAGGGCTTCGTGAAGGCGCTGGAGGACCTGCACAAGCAGAACCAGCTCAACGGGACCGGCCAGACGACCGGCAGCCTGGACCTGGGCGCCAACGTCGCCGCGGTCACCGTCCAACCGGATTTACCGGTGTACACGAACCTGAACAGTTACGGCGGAGGGCCGCTCGGAACCACCGTCAACTACTCCACGGACACGGTCCCTTTCCCGCCTCCGCCGTCCCACAACCTCGGGGCAGCCCCGCCGGCTCAGGCGGAGCTCTCTCGGGTTCAGCCGCTGAAGGAGGAGCCCCAGACGGTCCCGGACGTCCAGAGCTTCGGCGAGAGCCCGCCGCTGTCCCCCGTCGACATGGACTGCCAGGAGCGGATCAAGGCCGAGAGGAAGAGACTCAGAAACCGCATCGCAGCCTCCAAGTGCCGGAGGCGCAAACTGGAGCGGATCTCCAGGCTGGAGGACAAGGTGAAGACGCTGAAGAGCCAGAACACCGACCTGGCCTCCACCGCCAGCCTGCTGAGGGAGCAGGTCGCCCAGCTGAAGCAGAAAGTCCTCACCCACGTCAGCAGCGGCTGCCAGCTGCTGCCACACGAAGTCCAGGTGCACTAGCCGGAGGCTGCACGCCTCCAGTTGGGCTCCACCGACCAGCACATAAGCTTTGTGGACTTTGTCAAATGTTGGTTTCCCCCTATTTTTAGGCGTAGCCCAGATGTGTGCCATTTTTTAAAGGGATGCCAGGTCAATTGGACCTTTATGAATAACCTCTACGTCCTTTAAAAAAATGCTACAGAAAAGAGGATACACCTTTTTTTAACTGGATATTATCATGGCATGGCATACATGTAAAAAAAATTATTATTTTTTTCTCTAAAATAATGTTTACTTGAACAAACCTGGACCAAACAGAAGAGGTTTCTTCAACAATATGCATAGTTCTGATGGTATATCTTCAACATCAGAGGAGCTGCATATGCACCTATGTTTCAATGTAAAACATGATTTATTTACATATGTAACCTATTTACTCTGTGTTTCCTGAGGGAACAATCTGCATGTTGTTGACAAATTTGAATGTTGCCCACAGCAGGGTCTAACGAGGTGCAAGTAAATCAGTGTTGATTACCCTCAACCTTTCCACGTGTGTGTTCGTCGAGGTTTTTTAAAAATTTGATTGTGTTCCACTGTGCCCCTGTTTCAATGTGTTCTTGTTTCAAATGTGAAAAGTCATAACCTTTGTGTTCACTGACTGTTGCTATCACCTCTAGCCTACGGTAATTTGGCTTAACGCCGTTGTGTTTGGAATTAAATGCTGCTCTGCAATAAACACTGTTTCCTGTAGTTTTGCCCGGTGTTGTATTCTGCTTGGTTATTTTCTTTTGTTTGAAACGCAGCCCAGATGTTTGCATTGGAATTCTACCCCGGGAATGGTTGTGTTTGGTACAATACCTAAATCAAGTGAGACTAAAATAGTTTATCTCTCCACAGAAGACTGATTTAGAGAAGCTTATGTTGTCCTAAATATTTCTGCCATGTTTTTTTTCTCTGCTATGGTGGTTGCTTCATTAAAACTTTAATGTGGACTTTTGCTTCCTCTGCTGGTTAAAGGAGAAACTACAAGGGTTTAAACCTTTAACCCTAATAGAGCTCAGAAGAATATAATAATGAATGCAACGTTAAATTGGCCTAAAACAAAAAAAGAAAAAAAAGGTGCTTGGTCTTTTATTTGATGCTATATTGCCTCCTATTACTTAGAATTTCTCACCGTTTGGTGCTTGTCCACAATGTGGATAGAAGGACCTGAAATACTTTAATTAGTCTAATTTGGATATTTTGGAATATCATTTCACATGTACAGTTTTGGTTTCAAATTTGATTTGATTTAGTTTAAATTTAATTCCCTAAAGTATGATCAGTTTGTGGGCGGCACGGTGGTGTGGTGGTTAGCACTGTCGCCTCCCAGCAAGAGGGTTCTGGGTTCGAATCCCGGGGGAACCAGGGCCTTTCTGGGTGGAGTTTGCATGTTCTCCCTGTGTCTGCGTGGGTTCTCTCCGGGTTCTCCGGCTTCCTCCCACAGTCCAAAAACCTGCATGTTAGGCTGATTGGAGATTGGGGAAATTGCCCTTAGGAGTGAATGTGAATGTGAATGTGAATGTGAGTGTGAGTGGTTGTATGTCCTTGTATGTCCTGTGTGTGGCCCTGCGATGGACTGGCGGACTGTCCAGGGTGTACCCTGCCTCTCGCCCGTTGACCACTGGGATAGGCTCCAGTTCCACCCACGACCCCATGAGGGAATAAGCGGCATTGATAATGGATGGATGGATGGATGATCAGTTTGTCATTTTTTCAACAAAATATGATTTTTCAAATTTTTTCCCTTTTTATTTTCGTGCTTTTCATTAATAAATTGAGCCAGAATGGTACCAACAGGATCAATTTGTACTTTATTTTTGCTCCATCTTTTATCCTGGAATTCAACATCACTGTGTATATGGGGAGTTGATAGCTTTGACTGACTCTGAAGGTCAACGGCCAATTTCTAAAAATTGAACTACTTTGATGGGTTCATTAGCTGAAAGACGATGCTGAAGTAGTCTGAGGTTTAAGGGGTTGACATTTTTAAGGGTTCTCCATTGAATTTAAACAGAACCCCCCCCCCAAAAAAAAAAAAAAAAAACACTGATAACAAAATATTTTAAAAAGTTTAAAACAGATATAGACTAAAAGAAATAGAAAAAAACCCTTAAACACAGTGTTTTCATGTACAACTTGATAAAAAGCGCTCAAAACATGTAGGACGACTTAAGTGTTGGAAACATGTTTGGAAAAAAACAGCCTTGCTACCGAATGAATACTGTCCAGCATTTTTACCATGAAATCTTGAAAGGCTCGGAGTTGACACATATTCTTAGTAGTTTAAGGGGACCGAATTCATGAATGATGTACAGGAAAGGCCAGAAAAAAAAACATTTGTAGTTTTTACATGTATTACTATTAGCAAACATTTCAGATATTTTCTTATTATTCTTACTTTTTTTTTTCAATTGCATGTGTGGATGAATCTTAATCTTAAAGGGATCGACTCCCCTCCATTCATCTAAGAATTGTAACAGTCTACCAGCAAAAAGAGAGATGCTGACAACCCGAGGATATTGGAATAAGTAGCATCCAAAGAAATTATCCATCATTAGTTATGCAGGTTTAACCTGTTTAGGGCTCAAAGGCAGAAACTTCTTGCTATAAAGTGTAGATATGTGGATTTAAATCTGTGGTCACGGGTACTAAATAGGAAGCAGGAGACAGCACTCATCTGGCCCTAGTCAAATCTGTTTAAACAACAGTCAGGTGATTGTTAGCAATTTTTTTTATTGTTTTACCACAAAGTACAGATAAAAACATCCACAGCATATTCTCTCACTGTAATGGCTCAAACTGAAAGGATTTGAAGAGGCAGTGATACAAGACCAACAAAAGACACATGTTTCCGCGTGCTAGTAGAAGATCTACAGTCGGCAACCTCTACCAAGCTTAATGGCATTTGTTTTGGTGTACTATACTGTAGTGTGTATTGCTTCATAACTGAGTGACACATTCATTCACAAGCAGGCCTAGAGATGAATGCGGATACAGTACGACATGGCTCTTTTGGGATTTTCAGGGATTTACTGTCTTTTTTTCACCTCTTTTTTCTTGTTTTGTTTTTTTCAATGCAAGCCTGAGTCAATACAACACAATCCACACATATGACTCAAAGATACAGTATTTACAGGTCAGGTTTATATGGAGAGGAAGACGTATTCGAAAGAAGAACAGTTTATAAGTCGGGGTTTTACCAGAAGAAAAACAGTCACAACCATTTAGAATTAAAACATACGCAGGATCAAAATCACTCTGACGCTTTGACTGGGGCTTCATTTTCTGTTACTTGAGCGGCACTCTCAGTTGCTCGTCTGACTTAGAATTAATTCAATATCACTATCAAAGACTCAGCTTGTGTGAAATTACTTTCATCGCTTCAGCTTTCACAGTACTTTCTCATGCCTCGCCTGCAGTCCTTTTTCAATCTTAGTTTTTAATGCCACCTCCCATCTTTGGCATACTATGAAACCATGTTTAAATCAAAAGAGCTTCATATATATTCAGTTTCATTACAATTTTAAACTTGGTCATCTAGTCAAAATGCTTATTCTGGCTTCCTGAAGCAGAACTGAAACAGAAGCTGCTTCTATAGCAACCTTTGGGCAAAATAAGGGAAAGCCAGAAGTGGGCAAATGTGTTAAAACAAGCGATAAAAAATACTTTCTGAGGGGGCATGTCCACATTATTTTTATATTCCGTTATTGTCCCACGCACAGATCACAAAATTCCTGCACTGCTTTAAGTTTCCTACCCTTTGAATCATCAGCCTCCAGCTGTGTGATGCTTTCTCAACTGCAAATGTTGCAGTCTGTGATTAACCTGCACTTTAGAAGACTGAGCAGTGATGACATCACACAAAATCAGACAAATGAACAAACATCTGCACATGAGCCTTTGAGAACCCGGTAAAGCCGCTTCGTAATACTGACGAGGGCGTTTCAGTGAGTGGAGCTGGTTATTAAGCCATCAAACTAAACAAAAAACAGTCAGCGTACTGTTTGACACGTTTTCCCCTGAATTCATATTTGTAGAATGCCAGTTAGGTTCGAAAATACGACTGTTAAACCACATAAATGTTCGTGTGAGCTCAAACACAGAAGAGGCACAGACTTGATTCTCCTCAGTGCAGCCTGGGCATTTTTCCTGACTGGAATTATGAACTTTCCTCATTGCAAAAGACTGACATATGCCCCCGAATTCTTAAGTATATTTAAGGTCTGTTGATTCCTAAAGTCCTCCTAAAATCTCCATTGTAATTTATATGCAAATAGCCATAGATTTGCAAATAGCCAGAAAGAAGCTTTTGAAAACTTCTGCGATGTAAAGTCATGCATGCCCATTAGTTATTACCCTGTAATAGTAACAGATTTAGTGCAAGCCATTGCACACACCATCATTATTCCTTACTGATGTTTCTTTTTTTACTGACAATAATCAGCTCTCAGATTAGCCAAAAAATACCATGGAAAGCACAACATATGATGCATTCTCCAAACTCATATCTGCGTGGTAATAACACTGAAATGTTTGAATGATTTGATGTCAGATGAAAGGTGTCTGTTGCTAGAAGTAAATAACTTAAACCCAGCAACTCCACAATAAAGCATGTAGCACTACAGCACTAATGTGTTGTACAAAATTGTGTTCAGACATCATTAGATTTTTGTTTCCTATTAAAGTAACAATAGGGTGAGACTTATCTTCATAAAATATCATTGTCAAACTAAATTATTTTGAGTGTTTAGGAACTATGCCGGAAAAATTATATCATCAGTTTAACTGCAGTCATTTCTTGAAACGGCATTAATCCACAGAAACGCCTCCCTCTCACATCAGTTTTATGTCAGTGTCCTTCATTACTGCTAGAAATCCCACAAGGCGGATTCGGAGGGTGGTAAACATATAACTTAAGTACAGACTTCGGATTCTGTAGTTTGAACTGGGTTTTTCTTTGAAAGAAAGCTACATCTTCCACATATTTCTGAAAGTAGCAACCAGTGGGGAATTATAGTTCCCCCTCAAGGAGCTGCTTGCTCACATCCAAACCACATAGATTTTTTATATTTGATACTATTCTCATAGAACATCCATCAAACTTCTTAAAATGTATTTCCAGAAGTGTATATCTGAAGATATTATATATATATATATATATATATATTTATATATATTGAACAACATTTATATGTACATTTAAAATAAATATAATTGAATAAAACATGTCTCTTAATTTTTTGCTTTTTCTCCAAGCAATAGCTAGTTCATATTTTCCCCCACTGTGTTTTAATATCTGAAAATAATAACCCAGGGCTTAGGTCTATAGATAAATGTTTGCAAAGGAAATGCAAAAAAAGATAATAAGGGCTTTGGGAAAATGTTTCATTCTAATTAGTACCCATGTTTTGATAGGTGAGGCAACAAAAAGAAATGTATATGAAATATATGAAATGTAACATGATACTGAGTAGTTCTTAGCTGGATCATTACCCTCATGTAACTCCTCACTGGCCTTATTGGTCACCATTTCCAAGCCAGGCATCTTTTCAAGAAATTTGACTGACATAAAAGCAAAGGACTGTAAACTTCGGAAGGATTTCAATGGCACTCTGAGGATGTACGCCGTCAAATCCTTCTATTAAAACCGTACTCAAGAACAGATAAACGGTCAAGAACCAGGACTCCAAAGAGTGGGAAATGCTCTAGTGTGACTGAGCTTGCTTTGGCATCGGACCGAGACGGAGACCTTTAGCGATTGAAAGCAACGAGACACCAGCAGCATGCTCCTATCTGGCTGGACCGTCAGCATATCAGAGCATCTCAAACACTTTTCGGCCCTGGTTCTTGAGATTATCAGGTAATGAACCAACAGGAAGAAGCGGGAAAGTGTGTGGAAAAGGTGATAAAATAAGGATTCTGGGACCTGGGATCTGTCTGAGGGAAACGTAGGCAGACAGACCGCAGAATTCAGCTTTTAGGAAACGAGCCAGCTCTAACATGCACAGTCCTGGTGAGGAGGGGCAGGCTGCTCTGTCAGCTGGGGCCCCTGTTTGGCCCCCGTAACAGCGGGGTCACCGGCATCCAGACTCTCCGACATCTTTTCGCAGATGATGTCAACGAGCCGCTCAAAGGTCTGCTTCACGTTGATGTTGTCCTTAGCACTGGCCTCAAAGAACTCAAAACCTGTGGGAGAAACAGGGGCAGAGGAGGTTGTTAGGAATACCAGGCCAAAATCCTAACTATTTCAAACGCTGTACATTTATACATCCCATAGCTTACATAAAAAACAACATTGTGAAGCTCTAAACTTTATCATATACAAACAATACAGTGCTTCACAGCAACTGTACGGTTCCAGTTATATTCTTCTCGCCTATTTCTTAATCTTGCGGTTACCATTTAAATCTTCAGCCAATGTAAAATCTCTAGTTTTCAGTGGAAAGAGAGAGAAACTCCCTGTTTTCTATGCCTGTAAAGATTGTGTAAAAAATGCTTCCATTTGAGGCAACAGCACGCACATATATGCAAATTAAAAGCCTAAATAAAAACGTAGAATTTAAATATGAAGGGTTAGAAGTCAAAGATCTGATGTGTTCGAACTCACCAAGGTGTTCAGACAGCTGCCGGCCTCTATCTCCACTCACCACTCGCTCGTCTTCCATATCACACTTGTTTCCAACCAGTAGCACCTGGGCATTGTCCCACGAGTACGTTTTAATCTGAGTCGACCTGGGAATCAACCACACAAGAAGTCAGAATGCAAACTGACTGACTGACCAAACAGAGGAGACAAGGCAGCATTTCAACCTGAAAGCTGGGGTTTTTTTTTTATCTTGTACCATAAACCACATTTATATCTCACTCATATTCCTGTGTTTCTTTTTTTAAGCCCATCCACCAAAAAGGTTTGCAGTTTTGTGCAGCTGAACTGCCTATTGAGTACTTTTTCTGCTATTATATAACGCACGGTTGCTTAAAAACACGAGAGCTTGAGAAACATTAAAGGCTTAAAAGACAAATCGTTCCGTGTGGTTCCCTCATCTTCACTTCATTAGATTTCCCCTCCTCTCTTTATGTAGAGGATGCAGAGGGTTACAGACTCCACTGAATCAGAGTCCCAGCAGGAAATCAAAGGGATAAAAGGATCCAGATCACTGCAGGGGAAACAGATTCAGAGGGATGTTACAGAAAACTGAAACCTGAACCATTTTATGCGCCTTCTTCTTTTGTCTGCAGTATCTCTGTGTCTATTTCCAGAGAAGTGCTAGCTTCGGAGATACATTTTTATCCATCGTCCACTCACCACTTCCTCTCACACGTAGGTGTCAGCTTACTCTCTTATCATGCGACAAAGACCCTTTTAGCCACAACGTACCAGTCCTGGACAGCATTGAAAGACTCCTCGTTTGTGATGTCATACATGAGGATGAAGCCCATGGCTCCTCGGTAGTAAGCAGTGGTGATAGTGCGGTAACGCTCCTGACCCGCCGTATCCTGGAAAAAAACAGACAAACTTTTCTACAACTCCTTCACACCATGAAAGGGATTTCTAAATATATAGATTCTGGGCAAAGTGTAAGGTCTTCAAACTGTAATTGACTGTTTTTCATGGTTTCATAAGCACCCCCTCATGTTTTTTTTATATACACTGCAGGCAAAAATCTTAATACTTAAAGTACACTTTTTAAGAAAAACCCCATTCCTCTTAAATGTTATGGATATAAAACACCAGCAAGCCAAATGTTATGAGAACCGCAGAATTATATAAATACAGAAAAACTTGACGCAGAGAAAGTGCTGCACTTTGTCTGAAAACAGCAGCCATTTTTATCCCAGCAGTCTGAGAAGAGCCGCTCTGAGCCCATTGACAAATAACACGCACCACTGTGATTATCTGGCATGTCCAATCGTGTAATTAAATGGGTCCACCTACTTTATTTAACTCTTTTTAATCACCACAGTATTTTCTGTACGCCAGTGAAGTTGAGAGCAGTTTGCAGCCTCAAGTCTTTGAAAATGTTACGCTTATCAGGGCTGCCGGAGAGCTGCTGACTACTGCAGAGCAGAGAGGATTAGGAAAGTCGCCTCGGCCCTTGCAGCTGTGGTTCATTACCATAAGATTTTGAAATAAAATGAAGGAGAGAAAAACGGATCCACGTGTTGTATGTGAAGAGACTTGTTTTTCCTGAAATGGCGTCATGAATTGAGTTTTTCTTGGCCGAACAAATCAACTTGTCCATTTTTTTTTGTATTAATCGACTTAAATAGCAATATCAACAGGGAAAGGAAACTCTAAAAATAACAGTGCTTGTTTACTATTTATTCACTGTCACAGTCTAAAGAAACTGTCACATTAAAATCTTATACAGTCACCGTATCTGTTGTATTGTATTTTCTTTGAATATAAAAAAATTTAAACCATCTCCTTTGAATTGTGAGAGATAAAATGCTGTGTCAAAGAATTTTGCAGTCCATCTGTGGATCACTTTATCCCTGCAGACCGATGTCAGTAATTGAAACTGTACACCTTAGTCATTATAGAAAAGGCTCAGAACAGTTTGCTGAACTACTCCTTTGATCTGTGTCTGGGCCAGCAGCATTTTCTGCTCTCAGTGTGGAAACTAGCAGAGCTGATAACTGACTCTGACATCTGGAACAGTCTGGAAGGAAAATGAAAATTCTATCAACCATTTGTGCATAAGAACATAATTTTAATAAGGCATCTATTTTCCTCCGTGTTTTATTGCCTACACTCCTATGTCTGTGTACAATTTTTCAGAATATGTTTACACAATGTTGCAGGCAACAGACGGCAGGTCACCTCTCCTGGATGACGTACTTCCTGTTGTTTTTGTGCTTGTTTGCTTTAGTTCTGTGTGCAGATTAAACTGGATGACATCTGCTGACAGTGAATCTTTATGGTACTTGTATATGAGGTAGATTTTGGGACCATGAAACAGAGCTAGGTCACTTGTCTACAAATTAAATTCCTTTTTTTAAAGACTGCATAAAGTTATCCAACAACACCTTGTTAAGGATTCTTTAATGGCAATTATCTCTCGTGAAAACATGAATAAATATTCCTTTGTAAGAATCAAAACTGTAAGTCCTCATGGGAAGAGAATGTATTAGAGGAATAAATTAATGTTTTCAAACCACTAAAATCCAGCATATTACACACAACACACACTCGGAAATTCAATATGTATCATATAATGATAGTTTTGAAACCTGTGGACCATAAACCTTTGGTATAAACTGTTATGTAAATGTTGGTACATGCACTCCACTCAGTCATACACGATCAATCTCAGGTTAGGAGAAAATTGCCCAGCATCTATTTTCAGTGAGCTGTAGCTCTGACCTACACTGTCAAAATATATCAGTGAATATATTGTTTGGTAACTGCAGTTTAGACCCACTCATGCCCATCAGCCCTTTGTGCTTGCAGGCCTCTCAGGATAAGAGCATTGGTTATGTACATAAACTCTTGGTGTAGGTAGCATTGAGTGGTGTTTCATAATGGATTGTTATCTTCACCCTCAAAATATCTCCCGAAAAGGGGAAGCTTTGCAGAAGAATACAAAGTGACAATGTTGCTCTTTCTATTGAAAAATTGTGAGGTAGAATTGATAGCAAATACACTTAATTAACCTGGGAAGGTAATGGACTAAGCTGGATTTCTGTATTTTTTCCCCCCATACCACCTAAACTATGCAGAAATCTATTAAAAGTCAGAGAATCATAAATCAGAACTGATCATCTGCAGTAAACTGAGACAGTAGAGAAATATTCCCCTTCAGATGATCCCACAAACTAACTAAATAGTGATTAAAAGGAAAATATGAATTGACAATAAAATAGAAATGCGATGATAAAAAACTATTTTTTTAAAAGTAAACACGCATATGGAGGTGTGAAAACAATGCCAAAGGGTTCCCAGTGCATCAAAACACAACACCAAGGCCTCCTGGTGTTAGAAGTTATGGGCTAGAAGAGAGAATGTCTTGTTGAAGAGCACTGCGAATAAATGTGACAAAAGAATTGGATTGATTCTGTCATAACAGCAAATACTGAGCGACGTTTGTTTTTCCCAACTCACATTATTCAGAGTGAATGATCATTTGACAAGAATCAAATCCTCAGAGTGCATTATGTTCTGTACCTTTATATTACGTTGAATGCTATTTCCAGTGAATTACAGCTACCATTAGGTACCTGATTATTGTACACGAGTGGGCTTAAATGCACACAGAGAAATAAATGGACTGCTTTCATGATGTTTGAGCTCATTTTCTACTTTGCTCGAGCTGATAGAGATGCTGACACAAGGGGGATGGTGCACACGTGTATGTGTGTGTGTGTCTGTGTGTGTGCGGACATGTGTTGGCTTCTGAGGGAGACGTGTAGTAATGGGGGAAGGGAGAGCGGCGCTCAGTCATCGTTTCCTCGCGCTGTGATTGGCCAACTCCATCATTCTTACCAGAGGCAAGACCTGGCAAAGGCTGGCAACAGACGCAGTCCTACAAACATACACACACGCATGGATAACACGCTCACAGTCACGCCTCCATCTGCTGAGAGATGTGTCGTGGTGGTGAAGAAGGTGTTGTGATGCACAACAAAAAGCTGGTACACTTCAGGGACCCTTTTTTTTCTCTAACACGCTGCTCTTCGGTGCTCCAAATGTGCGTTTCTGTTCGACCTTACAAATAAAGGCACACGTGATGCAACAAATCATCGAAATAAACTTCCTCCTGTTCGCCCCCGCGGGCATGCCACTGCAACTTGCTATGTCTACTCATTACATTTGATCTAATTTATGACTCTCTACCCATCCGGGGTTCATCTGGATGGATGAACAGATGTCCACACAGCGTGCTAAATTAAGTCAATCTCGAGTGCGCTGTGTAAAGGCAACTCCAAGCAAACAACAGATTGTGTACAATGGATGAACATATTTAAAGTTAAATATCTCATATGGTGTTGATATCGGCTTAACGTAGGACATTCTGGACCTACCAAACATGTGCCGTGAGCAGTGGCAGGGCCTTGCTCCCTCCACAATTTGAGCCAATTCGTTTCCATGCAGTGTCTTGCTTTCTTACCCAGATCTGTAACTTGATCCTCTTATCGTTCCTGTAGATGGTCTTCACTTTGAAATCGATACCCACAGTACTGACGAAAGCCGGTGTGAAGGAGTCGTCGGCATAGCGGAACAGGAAGGAAGTTTTGCCCACACTGCTGTTGCCAATGATGAGGATCTTAAACATATAGTCAAAGTTCTGGTCCGAAGACTCCTTCTGTCCATAGGTCGCGTTTGCCGATGCCATCTGCAGGCCAGACACGAAGAAAAGGGAATTTTAAATCAGAGAGCTCAAAACACACCAATATACTGTAGATAATGATACAGATGTAGAAATAGCCGTAGATAGATAACAGTTGCATGCATATCATACAGGTAATCAAAGCAGACTACTTGAATTATAAGACTACACGAATTCCAAAAATGTTACATCTAATTAAGCTTGAATTAAGATACAAAACTAATAGAACCACTCCAGAAATACTGATTCATTAGAACTTCAGTGGATATTTTAATAGCAATAATTTCCTCCTAAGTGAGCCAATATATAAAACATTCTGCTCAGATGAGTCTTAGGTGTGTTTCCAAGGGCAGAATCAACACGTGATTCATTTATATTGTATGACTGTTTCACTATTCATCACTTTGATCTCAAAGGTTACACCTTCCCACAGAGTGTGAGGGATTAATATGGAGCTGGATCAGAGGTCATAAAGTTTAGTTTAAAACCCTTTTCGGTACCAGAATTTCACAGTTTTGAAGCGGAAAAAGAAATCTGAATATCTTTTAGTAGCAATTCGAAGTTTGAATTCAATTTAAAAAAACTGAAAAAAAACATGCAGTTTGGAAAAGTTGGAAATGTATATAGGTCTACTTCAGAACCACGGACAGCATCACACAGCTACTTTTATTTCCCAGCAACGGTCAGCGCTTTAGAAATTCCAACTTAAATGAACTCTTAAGACCGAAGTTCTCAGCCCTGGTCCTCAGGTCCATAACTTTCCCAGCTTAATGCAAATAAAACTAAGACTGCACAATTTAATGCTGTTTCCCAGAGACAAACTTAGTTAGCATTTGGACAAAAAGATGGGACTCCAGCAGGATCTGTTAGACTCAGCATAAGAGGTGACAGTGATAAATAAGTTGGGCTTTGAAGTTGCACATTTGCTTCCTGGATATTAATCAAAGCAGCATTTTGCAACTTCATCGGAAAACAGACCACCAGTTTGAATTTCGTCTCCGGCAAAAGTTGGAGGTAACCTGTCACAATGAGGAAGCGTTCACCTTATTTAGCCTACTTTTGTGAGTCTAAAATTTGAGATATCCTGTCTTTATTTGTTTTTTGGCCATGATGTGTTGTGATACTGAACCCTTCTAATGACACCTTCAAAGTGTATGTCTCTCGAGCAGAGCTTAAGTAACAGTCCATTAAAGATGCAGAATGACAGCAACACCACAACTGACGACCAGCTGTAACTTTAGATTTACAAATTCATACATCACAAACACGATTATGGACCCATTGTTTTTCCTGGCACAGCACTTTTCTCTCAAAGTGTTGCTTGCTTATGCCACCTAAAGTTTAGACTTCTGGTGAGACCTGATACTCCAGTCAGAAATATCAAGTCATGGCTTTATTCTTTTAGTTTTTTTTTATTTCCTTTTGGGGTTTGAAGACACATGCTGTTGATTTTCATCTTCGTGCCTGAATTTTTCCCATACCTAATCTGAAATCTAATTTGTCTAATCTGAAATTTGAAGCATGGATAAAATCATAAATTGTTAATTACTGAACCATTTACTAATCATACTGAGCAGATTGCCATTATAAGCTTGGTAAGATGTGAAAATTTTCTCAGAATTACATAAAAATGACAAGTTGGACTGCAGCAATATGAATAAAGAGCAACAGACAAATCTGATTTTAAAAAATGCCACTGTGACTCTGCAATTTTTTCTATTGTGGGACACAAAATGTAATAATTCAATAATTTCATTCATTGTTATCTCTATTTTAATAAGAGGAGTCTGGCACTAACTAAAACGGTGTGCAAAACTGTCTTTGATCTTAAAGATTAAAAAATAACCCCAAGGTTCTTTACTCAAGAAAGCCAATATGCCAACTGCCTGCAACCGGTTCAGTCCTCAAATCCATATCAAACCGCATGAAAACAGAACTAAAACTAATAAAAAGATCAGCCCTGTTTATGGCCTCTCACAACATTTACTGGTACGTAACCATATGATCCACAGGATCCAATGCTAAAAGGTCTTGCTAACTCTTGAAAGCACAAAGGCCAGACCCCAGAGGACTCTGAGTCTCCCCAACCACCTCTATATTTAAACTGTTATCTCGGCTCGGCTGCAGCGGAACACTAGAACTATCAGGGAACAGAGCACAAACAAAACAAGCGCACCCTCCTCATAGCTCCCTGGGCTATCAGTTTACATGAAGGAACAGAGAGATGCTTGTTAAAAATTGAAGAAGACCCTACCCTTCCTCAACACGGTGATCATTTAGTATGTAGGGGAGGGGCAGACATTTTACAGCTGTGAAAAGGTAGATTTTCCCCCCCCGATATGTTTTGACAAGCAAAATAAAAAAAATTAAGCAACTGTATGGTTGTCAGCTTCTATTTAGGTGATGGAATCTTCTGCTCCGCCTTTTACGGGAATAATTCCTGACAAATATGATGCCCGGAGCTTCTGTTTACACAAAGGTACACAATTCATAGCGAACATGTTATATCATTCGACAGTTTTCTTACAAAACAAGTCACACTAAAAATATGAAACCTTATGAAAAGTTGTCATAAAGATTAAAGCATTAGATTAGATTCAAAGAGCCATAAAGACACTAAGATATCTTGCAAAGTCTACTTTGTTTTTGTTTTTTATGACACAAGAAAAAAAAGTTCAAATTCAGACATCTGGTTATAATGATTTGTGATGCCCCTTGGCATTGCATGCTGCTAACTCAGATCATTTAGTTTGTTAGCCTCTCTAGCAACACTCATTTATTTAAGGAACAGAGTCCAGAGTATACATCTACAAAATATGAATACTTTGAATAATTCAAGCTGTGCGAACTGAAACAAACAGAATCCCAAAAGACAGTATGATTTCTCTGACTCAAGCAATGTACTGGAAGTGAGATCACATTTGACCACTTTCAGGATTTGGTATTCAGTTTCCTCTCTGCCTTATTAGAAATGTATGTACTCAAATTACTGATGCACCAAAAATGTCTGCTGAGCTCTGCAGATATTCATATTGTACACTTTATCGACATGCTTCTCAGACATTATTTTTCTATGATTTTTTCTGCATTTCTGTTGCCTCTCCGACCGAACCACAGCATTCATTTCAAGAAATTAGGAACATTTGGCTACCCTCCTTCAATTTTCCTATCACAAGATGTCAGCTATGTAAAATGGCTTCATTAAGCATCCCAGAAACCAAAGTGCAGGCCTGGCAATTAAATGCATTCATGAGCTATTAATAGCAAAATCTTAGATGGGGTTAAGATTTGATCAACTACTGCTACAACTCTGGAAGTTGTCAAACATCCCCACAGACTCTTGCCGGCTTTCAGAAGAGGCTGCTCTGTGCTGTATGTTACAGCGTGATGAAATTACTGCAGCCTTTCCTCTGCGTCTCAGAGATTAGCAGGGAGGAAGAGGCCTGCTTCAACCTCCAATAAACTGTACTTTGATACAGAAGCTTACAGACAGAGGCCTCTCTGTTTAATCTGCAAGTAATTAACAAATTCTCATTATGCAAATGTGTTTCCGCCTGCAGGATGCTGGTTCTTTCATTTAGCCTCGATAGCAAACTGCCTACAGGCCAGGTGTAGCAAAGTGTTCAGCGTACCATGTGTTCCTTTTTTCACTTTCTTTATCACTTTACTGTAGATTTGTATACGTGCATAATTTCTTACAAACATGTTTGATATATAATCAGACACAGGAGCGGAATTATGTTTGATTTATTTGGGTAGGATCTCAATTGTTCTATTCTGTACTGCACGTCAATGCTGCCTCATCATAACAGCAATTTGTTCTTCATTCTTTTTGAATTGGGAAAAAAAAACGTACGTTGATTTCCTTTCTTACATGAAATAACTACATAACCATAAAACTTTAACTTTAACAAAAAGTGAACAGCAAAAAGCATCGGTGTTCATAAATTAATTCTCAAAACTGAACCCCGTTCAACACAGTCATAAATGTTTGCGTGTGCTCCACTGCTTTTCAGAGAGAAAAATATAAATGCGTGACATTGTTAGAATATGTATCATTTTACTTTTGGGAAATGCTTCTATAGAAATACTTAATTAGAGAAAGACTGAAATGCTAAAATTCTGTGAATTGTTTTTAGATGCAAATGGTTTTTGGTAAAAATTTAGTAATCAGATTTAGATCTTTGTCTATGATATAACGCCCTGAAATCATAGTTGTGCTAAAGTTTACATTTTATCTTCCAGACAAGTATTTCTGTCTCACTTTCCTGTCCTTGTTTAGATTTTTCTTGCTGTTCTCTCAAACCAGAGGAAGTCTTTATAACTTTTTTAATGTTCCAGTCTGATCCATTCATGATTAAAAGTGGCGGTTTCAATGCAGGATGACTATGACATCATTCAGCTCTCCTCTAAATCTGCCACCTAAAGGAGATTGACGTCCTGCAGGAGCTGGATTGATCCAGAGCTAAGTGCTGCTGCAGCCACGGAGTCACAATCACTTCATCAGGACTGGCTGTCTTCCTGTGGAGCAACAGCTAATCCACAGATGATCCCACATCATTCAGAAACCTTCTTGCTTTAAACAGTAACTGAGATGACTGACACCGGTGTCTTCCTCTCTGCTGATCTGTGAGCAAATAAAGGTTTTAAACATTAAAACAAATTAGATTTGGATTCTGATTTAGAGTGAATGGGTTTGGGTTTGGGTTTGGTTTATACTCACTATAACACACAATCTCATCTATTTCCAGCAGATGGACATATTAAAAAATCTTTTGAATATTGAGAATCTCTGGATGTAACAGTTATCCTTTAACAAAATTATCAAGTGCTGTGACACATGGGAAGAGGGTCTTTAACTTTATCCCTTTTTACAGGTTGTCCCTATTAAATTTTGACTTGGAGGAGGTTATTAGCTATCATAGGAACTTGTAAAAAGAACTGAAGTGAACACACAGAACTTCCAAGTACAAACTCCTTGAAAATGAAAGATCAATATTTCCCAATCAGAG